TCTGGGAATTAGCTCATCTTCAGTCTGCAAAAAGAAAAGAAAAAAGATAACAATTAAGGACAAGTGTGTGCTTTTTCAGCTTTTGATCTCGGTCACAGCCTTCTCTCCATTCTTTGCGCAAATGCCTTCTTAATAGAGGTTTCTCAATACTCAAATGTCCCCTCCTCGACTCCTATCCTCGAGACTTGGGCCCTTTCTCATTTCCCTAACTCCCCTCCTCGACTCCCCTCCTCGACTCCTATCCTCGTGTCTTAGTCCCGCCCACAGGAGATGCGAGCGGAGGAGCCGTGGAGAGAGGAGGGGAAGCAGCAGACGGTTAGAGAAATGAGAACTCCTCTCCTCTGAGCGGTCATTTTAAAGAGACGTCCATTAATGATGACAGGAGGCACAGCAGCCCTCTGTCTGATGGACAGATGTGTTCATGACCACTTATATATTTACTTTGATTCATTCACAGTGCGGTATAATGAGACGATAACAGGCTACAGATGCGGACACACACACACACACACACACATATATTTATATAAATATATACAATTTCAGAATCAAACAAGTATGAGAGCACTCTCATAATAACGTAACACAATCAGAGACTGGATATATCCCCCCCCCCTCTCTCTGGTCGCTGAAATCGGGAATTGAAATTACGGGCCAAAAGTTTTATTTACAAGTATTAAAAGTAAGCAGAGGACACCAAACCAACTGAGACCTGTCTGTCCGCCACATCTACGCACTGTACAACACACACACCTACACACTGTACCACACACACTATACAACACACACACACCTACACAGTACACACTGTACCACACACACACCTACACACTGTGCCACACACACCTACACACTGTACAACACACACACACTGTACCACACACACCTACACACTGTACCACACACACGCCTACACACTGTACAACACACACACACTGTACCACACACACGCCTACACACTGTACCACACACACACACACACTGTACCACACACACTGTACCACAGACACACACAGCTCCTAAAGCATAATCAGGCTACAGACGTTGTGTATTTTATTATGTGAAGCACTAAATGGTCTTAGAAAAATGTCGACTCTTTGTTTGTAGATATCTACTAAACTAAAGCAAATAAAGAGAGTAGGCCTGTTATACTGAGTGATATATATTATACACACTGCTCTGCTTTCTGCACGGACCTCACAGCTCTTCTCACTGTAAACATCGCGACGCGATGAAAGCAGTTACTAAAATAATATCCAGGGGATGCATGCAGAGCTGTCATTGGCTGAGATAAGTCCGGCCGTGCGTCACGCCTCCACCGTTCCCGGAAATGCATCCGCGGAGGAGCCGTGGAGGACCCATCAGTAGGCGCATTCACACCGCAGTACTTTTCCCACAAAGGTTCATGAGAACTTAGTTCATGAGAACTCTTTTGTCGCGTTCACACCAAAAAGAGCCGGTACTAAAATTAGTTCATGAGAACCTTTTTACCCCCACGAAAGTCCCTGCTAGAGAGCAGAGAGCTGCTAGAGAGCAGGGACTTTCGTACGGCTCTCTTGTGAGAAAAGAGCTATATTTCTGATTGGCTGGGCGGATTGCAAACCACGCCCCGTAAAACTCCCAAAAAGTTTTGTGAAGCCGCCATTTTATTATCCTCGCATTAGCATTATTAGCATTAGCCCAGCGCAGAAACGCAGAGAGACTAACTTATGGCAACACAAAATAAAACATAGGAGCGGTGGAAATGAGGAAGTGTCGGCGTTCTGGCGATTTACTCGGAAGGCTTCAGTAGAAGCTGCGGGGAGTCCCAGCAGCTTCTACTGAAGCCAGTCCCCAACTCCGGGGACTTCCGGCCGGGGACTTTGGGCGGCAGTATACGCCGTGAAGTGGTTTGCGGCCTGCCAGTAAACCCAAAGCAGAAGAAGAATAGGTGACGTCAGCGGCTTCATTTGCCTAATCCTCCCCCAGGGACTTATTCCGGTGTGAACGCGATCTGTACTTAGTTCATGAGAACTAAAGAGTTCTCATGAAAAGTACTGCGGTGTGAATGCGCCTAGTGTCTCCTCGGTTAGAGCTCCTCCAGAGAGCCTCCTCGATGCTCGATGCTCGAAGTGCATTTAGAGAAATGAGATGTCCTTCAAAACGGCGCGCTGAAATTCATTTCCGGGTCACTACCGGAGGACCGAGGAGTCGAGGAGGGGACATTTGAGTATTGAGAAACCTCTCCTGAGTCACTTCTCTCCTCCATCACAGCGTTGTGACTGTGAATATCACGTTTGCGTTGCTTGCGGAGCCTGCGCTTGTGCTCGGTTGATGACTGTCCTCCTCCTCATTCACTTGTTCACTTTAGCTGGTAATATTATCCTCTCTCATAACATCATTCAGCTTGCTTGCAACGTTCACTAATCGTTCGCGGGTAGTATGGTCGTGCCACAGTGACGCATCCTAAAAACCCGGAAGTAAGCTTCTTCCGGTTCCCTCGACAAAAAAGCAATGCAATTTCTCCATAGGATTTTGGAAAATAGCTCAAAATGTGGTTGACACACATTTAAGAGACGGATCACGTTTTGTTCAGTCGGATAATCTCCACATGTCTACCCTACTTTTATAATTTTCTAATCATAAATCTAATCGATAGATTTATGATTCGAAAACTCCGGGTTTTAGGATGCGTCACTGTGGCACTCTATTAGCAACGCCAGACCGTAAGTAAGGTGCACTACTTGTTACTGCAAGAGCAGCAACAAGTAGTGCACCTTACTGTCCCAAATGTGCACCATGTAGTGGCTGCTTTTCGTCTTTTTGTTTACTTAGTTGTGTTTTCTGTATTTGATATGTCTGTGTTATGTGTAAGAACGTGTAACGTTGCTGCCTTCTTGGCCAGGTCAGCATTGTAAATGAGATTTTGTCTCAATGTTTTAATCTGGTTAAATAAAATGTAAAAAAATAAATAAAGAAAAAATGTATTTAAATGTATTTTTATTTTGTATATGTCAGATTCCTCCGCGTACCACTAGCGGGAGCTGGCGTACCACCAGTGGTAGCGTACCACAGGTTGAGAACCATTGATCTAATGGAAGTTGTTAGACCAAGCATTTTTATGTTCTAACGTCAGGTAACAAGCTCCATCATTTTCTGGGGGAACATTAAGCACATAACCAAAAGTCATTTCAATAACATTTTAAAAGAATGAAGCAATTTGCCTGTGGAGATTCAAACTTTTAATTTTTACACAGGAGCACATGATCACTGTCAGACCGAAGTTAAATAAGAGATTTAGTCATGTAGCAACTCAACGAGTATGTCAACAAATAAATATAAACACACATTTGAATTGGAGTTTGTATTTGGGAAAATCTGAAATTCATCAGTAGATTGATTAATGATTACATTAGTTTCCCATCTGTCCCCTTGGCTGTCAGAAGTGTTTATTTGGTCTTCCCTAGTGCAGGACCCTATAGAGAACTGCTCAAAGAGCATGCACACACACACACACACACACACACACACACACACTCACTGAGAGTACATACACATACACACACACTGAGAGTTGCAAACAAACACCCACTCAGAGTGGAGCAGAATTGCAGAGTGGCAGTGACATCATGAATGGATCTAAGTGTGTGTTCATGGCTGTGAGTACTTGCTGACTTCACTGGCCTGCTGCTGCTCTGCTGAAGAGCTGACACACACACATGGATGAAGAACTGACACAGTTGTTTGACTACTTTTACTTTGCTACTTCACTACATCTCAGATTAGACTATTAAATCAAATATATGTTTGGGTAACCCCAGATTGAGATTAATAATGCAAAGTGGATGCAATGCAATGTAACCCCACCCCACCTGCAACGTGGTGGCCAGTGCACATGAATGCATCAATCAGAATATTCTAAGAAAATAATAAATGCTATTCTAAAATGGTCCATTGTACATAATGAATTCTTGAAATATATTTCTATGCTCATACTTAATAATTGTTGACATTGTGGTATTCTTTTTTAACTAAAGTAAAATATTTTAAAACGCTTTCACCTCTTTTTTATGAAAATGAAATGTGCATTGTTAGTAATGCAGTTTAACACTAACGGAGTCTTTCTCCATCAATGTCTGATTGATCAGCTTGTGGTCCACTCTGATGGCACTGTCTTCCCGTCTGTCTCTTCTGCAGGGATCCTTCATGGAGCCGGACTGTGGCAGCTTCCTAAACAGCTGTACCTGCCTACGGAGGAGAAGTCTTGTCGGGCCCCTAACAGCCACCTTAAATATGTGTGGTAAGACCCAGCCCCTCCCAGCCCACATTCTTCCTGCAAGCTCTTCCTTCATTTGTGTCCAGCTTCTCCTTAGAAATGGGACATGTGTTCTCGCTGTTGCTTTTCTTGGGCTCTCTCCAGGAATTGATTTTCTTTTTCTTTCCCTTAACACTCATCATTGTTGCTGTCTTGTTTAAAAAAAAAACTTGGAGGTTCATTACCCACTTTCCAAAAGAAAATGGGTCTGGAAAAATGTTTGACCTTGATCCCACACATGGTAGCCAGGCTGCCCTCCCTTGTTCTCATCGGGCCATGTTAAAAGGTTTTTATAAGCACTCTGCCAAAGCTAGAAATGTTCTTTCTTGTTGTTTAGCTTTGAGTTTATCCAGAGATCTTTCCCCATGCCATCAGATGGAGGAACACCTTCCTCTGTGTGCTCCAAGGCTTTGGAATTTAGGAGAGATTGAGTTGACACAGATTGCATGTTGTGCCAAGCAGGAGGTTTGGGTCTTGTGTTAAACATATGGCAGTGGTTTGGACAGTGCTGCATCAGATCTGAGTGTTTCAAGCACAGTGGAATATTATCATAAAAATGTATGAGAGGCCTGTGTCTCCAGAAGGTTATCAGCAGCCTTTGAAAGCACTTCACATTTTCCGCAATTTTATTTGGTTTCCATAGCTATCAAACCTTTACTTCTAATAGTAGTCTGTGTCCACTATAAACTGCCATAAGAAAAGAAGCCACATTTTAGATACAATATTTCTCTAGGACATTCCACTTTAGTTGTCATCACTCAAGGGGTTGGCAGTGTGCTAAAAGGAAGATGAAAACACACAGATGCTGAGATAATGCTCCCCTGTGGTTTTGTTCATGCTGCATTGCAGTCAAACTGGTTTCCATCAGGCGTCCATCAATTATTTTTACTACTACAGGTAGCCCGACACTTGAAGGGTCAAACTGTTTGAGCGGAGTAACACTGAACAGAACCAAAGTGTGCCTCCTGCGGCCGCCTCAACATCTGCTCTGCAATCTGAACACCTGCCTTCCAAAGTAAACACACTGTCAGAGAAACATGACGGAAGACTGTAGCCCCAGCACATATTTCCCCATCCAGCATGTGTGTAATAGGAGCCACCCGGAGAACATGAAGACATGTAAATTGCAGGATGTATATAGACACATATTCTCACTTGTTTGTGTGTGTTGGGGCTGAAGAGTTGGGCACATTGTGTGGTCTTGTGTTTATAGGAAAAGTTTGTATCTGAAGTCAGCAAGACTGCAATTATGTGTGTGTATATGTACACATACAATCTATGCACCCAGAAGTATGTAGTTACTGCCTATAGTGCTTTGATAAGAATACAACTACATAGTCTTGTTTTTTAAGATTGAACCACTTTAATGTTCCAGATAGTCTTATAACTTGTGTTGTCTGCCCACAGGAAGATGCTCCAGTCTCTGGGGCGGCCGGAGCTCCACATGGCCCTGGAGGTGACCCTGGTGAGCGGCTCGGGTCAGGAGCATGCTGGCTGTCTGCTCCTCACTTCGGAGGTGCTGTTTGTGGTCAGCCTCAGTGAGGACACCCAGCAGCAGGCCTTCCCCATCACAGAGGTAAGATAGAGAAACAGCTCCTGTTACAGTCAAATGAGCCTTTCTGTAGCTGTGTGGCTGTGAATGTAACGCGTCCCGTCCCCTGCAGGTGGTGTGCCAGCAGGAGCCGGGGCAGGGGGGCCAGCTCAGCCTCACCTTACAGCAGCAGACAGTAGCCAGCGACACAGAGGTAAGACTCCCTGTAACGGGCTGCACATGGTGCAATAATATGATGTGGATATTGACAAAAAACCTTAAATCACTGCTTACACTACCAGTTCAGTATTTATCACATCTACAGTTAAGATAGGAGAGATCTTTAAGTAGTTGAACTGCTTTTCTATTTTTTTATTTTACAGTTAACTTGTGCAAAAATAAACTAAACTTCATAGCTTTGTATAAATGTAATGAAATTAAAGCCCTTTTAAAAGGAGTGCAAACGATGCTGAGCAAGCTCATCAGCAGGGAAGGCTCTAAATGGTTTCTGGAGGTGGCCAACCAGATTGAAAACAATTTGACATTCAAAGGAAAGATTGAATTAATTAAATAAAAGACATGCTCTCAAAAGTGTTACTCTCAATGCCAGAACAAGGTTCCCCCCAGCTTTAATTTATCAACATCTGCGAACATGTATACATTATGCCACCCAAAAAAAGGGCAAGGACAAAACCCATTTTCTATGACCTATTGTTGCTTGCTCAGCAGCATGCTGTATGCTCAACCAAGAGCCTAGCAGAATATTGAAGGAAAGTAACAAATGAGCTCAGACAAGGGAACATAGAATAGTTCTGACATCATGTGTCCTAGATGGCAGTGGTATGGATGCCATTCCTAATGGTGTGTGTCCTCCCTCAGGGTGACGGTGTGCGTGAGCGCCTGACGGAGCAGCAGTATCGCCGCTTGGTGGACTACGTGCTGCGAGCCGCCCACTTCCTGTCCCCCTCCGCGGCCTCTCTACAGCTGCAGCTCCCAGTGACGCTGGCAGAGCCCCCCCCTTCCGTCACCAAGACCTACCGCTACCTGGTGGATCCTGCCTTCGCCAAGGTGTTTGTCAGCAAGTTCACAATGGTGAAGAATAAAGCCTTACACATTGGATTCCATTAGTATACACTAACACACATCTGTGGATTTCTGCCACCAAATAAACCGGACCTTTTTATTCCATATTAAGCCTTAAAATACACTGAACTATGGATCTGAAAATATAACTACACATTTATTTAAAAGAATATATATTATCAAACTAAGTCCACTTGGTTATGCCTTAGATATGCAGAGAGTTCTAAGCAATGTATTTTGGAAGATATATTTTTGATTGATACGCAAACAAATCACAGAAGAAATCAGAAGGGTTAAAAACAGTTTTAATCATAGAAATACATTTCTTAAACTGGGACATTTCAATGAGCTCATACTACAGTATAGTGAACACTAAAACAAAGAAGAGTTGCGCCAACTTGAAAACAGGGCGCATTGTGAAACCTCTTCAGTGTGCAATGTTTCACTCTGCACAATGAGTGTTTACTGTCTCATGCCAATGTTAAGTGCAATATTATAGAAATGTTGAAGGATGTTAGAGATCCCAGCTGTCAACCAAAATGTTTTTATAGATGATGTCACATACTTGTTTGACAATAACAATGTTCTTTGTAAACTTACGTGGATGCCAACTCATCATTGTTGCCTTTTATATTGTTGATCCACTGAACTCTGAGTGAGAATTGTGTCTAATGCTTTTTATGTATGTACATGGATAATATATGAATAGAAAATCATTTAATAAAAACATTGAAATAATGAAGTGTTATTCTGTCATTGTATACTAAGAAAAAGTCAAGAAGAAACTGGGAAATATTATAAATGATGGATGTGCAGCCAGGCATAACTAAAGTTAGTAGTTAGTCGATGTTTTGCACACAGGTTTCTAACTGATCTTCTTACATAAGTCAATCCAGCATCAAACTACTAAGATATCAGTATCAGTTCTGCTCTCAGCTTTCAATCCTCATGCTCTTATAACAGCACCCTCTCCGTCAGTGTCAGAGCAATACGCCATCAAGTCTTTGGTTTCATTTCATGTTCTTCACACCCTGTGCAGTAACACGTGAGCCAGTTGTGTTTGAGAGGCTTGTATGTGTTTACATCTGGTCATTTCACTCTTCATTTCAATTTACATCTATCTGTCACACTGTGTACTGTCTGTTCTGGAGGGGCGTGTCCTGGCTGCTGACCGGACACTGCAGGCGGAGGACGACCCTGCAGACAGTTAAACGACACAGGGTGAACATCTGCTCGTGTATCGTCCCTGGGTTACTGTTGACTCATGTTTTATATATAGTATAACAAGGGTTCTATTTCGTCCCTACTGACCGCCAGAGGCGGTGCTTTTAGCACTGGATATGTCCATCCTACGCATGCGCAGTTTGAGTACCTAATAACAACAAAGTCACCTGTGACCCACGTGACTACGGCTACATACGCCGGCGTTATTAGTGGATCGGTTCCCTTTCATCTTCTCGCTTCGCAAGAGTACCGCGGCTACATTCTTGTAGCCTACAGCGTTCAGGTTTGAACGTTTGATATGAGGGATTTCTCTGCAAGCAGCTGGCCGCGTGCAGCTTCGCGACTGACAATCGGAGCTACGGGTTGTTAACGCGTCCTCCAGGAGCTGTGGCCGGCTGTGCGCTGTGCAGAGCGTCCACGGACAGGTTTGTGTCAGCTTGTTGCTGGTGATGGCTGTGTCCCCGCACCCTCTCCCAGCTAAGTTGTCCTGATTGCTGTCTTATTTATTGTTTGGCTTAGACTTTCTGGTGACGACAGTGTTCCCGCTTCCTCTCCCATAAAGTTGCCCTCTTTTGAAAGTTCTGCTTGTGGCGTTGTGCCCGAGCTATCATTAGCATTTGAGTCCCAGCTTTAGCTGCGTCTCTCATTCAATTTAGTATGGAAAGCCCAGAGTGTCATATTTTGCCCGTTTTTTGTTTAGATGCAGAGAGTAAGGTAAGTACTGGCCATAGTTACTACTGTAACTACGGTCCTAGGCCATGGAAGCACTGGCCATGGTTACTACTGTGACCATGGCCTACGGTTTTATGCGGGCTGTTCTATTCCATAGAAGCTAATTATGTGGTCTTAACATTTGTGTTTTGACTTGGTTGCTTGATTGTTAGCAGCAGCCGCTTGGCTAACACCTTGCATGTACTGTTAAGCTTCATTATTTAACTCAGCCGGTGAGGGCAGTGCTCTCGCTCCCGCTCCCGGTAACGTATGGTTTTGATTGCAGTAGCACTCTTCACTGTGTGTGCTGTGTGCCCTGCATGTGTGGCCATTAAAGAGGATTTCATCCTCCCAATATTATATTATCTAGTGTGCAGCCGTTTGGCTGACACTTTTGCCCCTTTCACACCAGCGCTTTTTCAGCTCCGGCTCGGAGCTGGAGCCTGAAAAGCGCCGGTTTTTCCTGTTCACACCGCAGCGGCGCCGGCTCTTAGCTCCGGAATCGGGTTCACTTCCAGCTCTAAAAAATTGTCGGTCTAGAGGCAAGAGCTTCGGAGCTAAGAGGTGAGGTAAGAGACGCTTACGTCTCTCTTACGTCGAGGCGTGCAGGAAACTAAACCCTCCTCCCCTGAACATGGGTCGACTGTCATGCCTGCCTACAAGCAGTAGTGCTTATAAACACACTTTATAAAGTCAGGCAACACTAACCAGGCTTCGTGTGATTCTGTTTATTTGTACCTTACTTTGACCATCCGTTCACTGTTATTGATCATTGTGGAGAGAGGTAGACGTTTTGTTTTGTATTATAGCAGCTATCGGATGGAATCAATACATGGGCTGCACAGGTTGTCGTGTCCGACTATCACAAGTAGAATCATTATAAAAATACGCCGGTAAAATGTGCCTGTAGAAAATAGGATAGCAATAGCAAGTAGTCCGTTTAGCTTCGGTTGCTATGCTAACATCACCCATTTTATACCAGAGAAACTTTCATAACAGCGTTGTGATACCAAACAGCGTCAATTCAGACTGACACACATTCACTCAGGCTAAGGGTAACTGGGGATATGTATCAGCTGCTTGTGTGAGTCGGACAGTGAATACTTTAGAGCGGCCGCTGCAGTGTGAGCTAACCAGGAGCTAACGGAGGAGAATAAACTCCCGTGGAAGAGCAGCCAACACTGCAGCGGTCGGTAAATGCTGCAGAAACACATGAATAAACAATGAACCACGGCACTCTGGAGCAAAGTATAAGGTTGGAGAAGTCGTTATTCAATTTAATCTGGCTTCGTGTGATTAAAAGCAACACGATCATCGACCCGACGCAGTTCCCCGTTGTTGTTGTGAGCGCCGTAATGGCGTTGGGGAGCAAATCAGCGATGTAAACGATGACGTCATGACGCAGCAGCGGCAGCACCAGTCGGGTGCTGGGCGGTGTGAACAGAGCGGGAGCAGAAAAGGGAAACCGGAGCTGAACCAGAAAAGCTCTAGCTCGGAGCTAGAAAGGGAAAAGCTCTGGTGTGAAAGCTGCATTTTAGACACCGGCCACAGTTACTACTGTAACTACGGTTCTAAGCCGTGTAAGTACTGGCCAAAGTTAATACTGTAACTACGGTTCTAAGCCGTGTAAGTACTGGCCATAGTTACTACTGTAAAGTTACAGTTCTATGCCGTGTATGCACTGGCCATGGTTACTGCTGTAACTACGGCTCTGTGCTGTTCTCTTCTTTAGAAGCTAGTTATCTGGTCTTAAACATTTGTGTTTGACTTGATCTCGCTTGATTGTTAGCAGCAGCCGCTTGGCTAACATCTCGCATGTTTTGTTAAAGCTTCTTTATTTAAATTCAGCTGGTGAAGGCAGTGTTCTCGCTCCCGGTAAACGTATTATTTTGATTGTTAGCAGCAGCCGCTTGGCTGACGTCTTACGTGTACTGTTAAGCTTCATTATTTAACTCAGCCGGTGAAGGCAGTGCTCTCGCTCCCGCTCCCGGTAAAATATTGTTTTGATTGTTAGCAGCAGCCGCTTGGCTAACATCTTGCATGTTTTGTTAAAGCTTCTTCATTTAACTCACCTGGAGAAGGCAGTGTTCTCGCTCCCGCTCCCTGCAACGTATTGCTCTGATTGTTAGCAGCGGCCGCTTGGCTGACATCTGGCGTGTTCTGTTGAGCTTCATTGTTTAACTCATCCAGTGAAGGCAGTGTTTTTCGCCCCCGCTCCTGGTAGACGTGCTGCTCGATTCTTGGCAGCAGCCGCCTGGCTAAACTGCCCCGTTACGCTTCTTTATTTAATCCAGCTAGGTGAAGGCAGTGCTCTCGCTCCCGCTCCCTCTGCTGGTAACGTGGGTGTAGTTACATCCCTCTTTGTGTTCGGCGAGTAGGAGCATTGCTCTACTCTTTCCGTTCAGCAGGTAGCTGGGGAAGGCTGTGTTCTCGCGCCCACTCCCGGCTACGCTGCATCTGGCTACCTACAGACTGGCTCATTCATGTAGTGCCTGTATGGCTTCTCTTGAGCCCGAGGACGGCCATGACCGCTGCCCCCCTCTGCCTTGGTCTCGAGCATTTGAGGGAGGGTCTCATGCAAAGCGCCTGCATGAGCTGTAGATTCATGCCTCGGGCCCTCAGAGTGGCTAGAGTCGCAGAGGTGGTACCTCTCCTCGTCACAACTTCCTCCAGCTCAGTCTGGCCGTTCCCGGCGACTTGATGGAGGGATGGCTATGGGTTCACCCCCCAGGTAGAGGGCTAGAAACAGGCTATCCTCTAAGGTGGATCAGTTAGCTGCCGTCATGGAGCAGACGAAGTCGCTCCTGTTGGCCCAGCAGCCAGGGGCCGGTGTGGGGGCTACTAGCTTGCCGCCTGGCCCTTCTTCGGTTGCCACACCTCTGCTTGAGGATGCCATGTCGCTAGCGGCTCCGGATAAACCTCTTCTATGAAGGGGGGGCGGAGCCCCGCTCACCCCAGAGGAGGCTTCCCACTCCTCTGCTCAGAGTTCTCTGCAGGGCACGGAGGACGCCTCCATGGCGGCCATTATTCGTGCGGCCCTGGTACGCTTGCAGCTTCAGGTTCCGCAGGCCGACTCGGCTCAGGCTAGCGCCTTCTTCAGGCATAACCCTGTTACTGGACTGTCTGTACTTCCGGCCCTTGGGTGGTTTTCACCTTAACCCAGGGGTACGAACCGCAGTTCCGGCCCCTAGCCTTCGGCCGGGCCAAAATGACAGTCGTCAGCGATCCGGCAGAGGCCCGAGAGTTGTCGGGTCCTTTTGTCCAAGGACGCAATCAAGCCAGTAGACCCTCTGCTTAGCCCAGGGGGTTCTACTCTGCATACCTTCTCGTGAGCAAGAAAGTTGGTGGATTTCGCCTGATCTTGGATCTCAGAGGAATCAACAGATTCCTAAAGGTGCTGCCATTCTATATGCTGACCACAGCACAGGCGGAGTGGTTCTCAACCGTGGACTTGAGGGATGCCTACTTCCATGTGGGCCGGGCAACATGGTGCCTTATATTCAGTTCCTCCGGCCCTTGGGCAGACTAACGGCTGCCTTGGCCGTTGGGCCCTTAGGCCCGCTGTCATTGCGCCCCATGCAGATGTGGCTGAACAGCCTTCACTTGGACGCCAAGTGGCACAGGCACAGGAAAGTCAGGGCATCGCAGCGTTGCCTCCACTCTCTGTCACACTGGAGGGGCAGGGCCTATCTTCTGATGGGCTTGCCCATGGGCGCCATCCCATCCCGCCATCTCAGGGTGGGGTGCAGTACGGCAGGGCAGGACCGTTCAGGGTCAGTGGTCTGCCCAGGAGGGTGCACGCCATGTCAACGTGCTAGAGCTTTGGGCTGTGCAGCTTGCACTCACGCACTTTCTACCCCAACTGGGGGGCAAGAATGTGCATGTTCCTTGGGACAGCATGTACGCTGTTGCCCAGACAGCAGTCCCTTCTAGATAGTGGGCGTTCTCACTCCACTCTGAATTTATGTGGCTGCTATTTCTGCCCGACATATTCGGGTCGACGGTGCCACGGCGGGGTGCCACAGGTCGGTGTCCCTCTTCCTGAGAGGGGCTTTACGGCAGCATCCCCCTAGCACCCCGAGGGCTCCGGCTTGGGACCTGCCCCTGCTGCCGGATGCCCTATCATCTCCTCCCTTCGAGCCCCTGGCCCAGGTGGAGCTTAAGTGGCTGTCCTTAAAGGCATCATTTCTGCTTGCCATGACCTCAGGGAAACGAGTTGGAGAGCTACATGCCCTCTCCGTGAGCGATACATGCTTGAGGTGGAACTCCGATGGCTCGGGTGTTGCCCTCTGGCCGAACGTGGCGTTCCTGCCCAAGGTGCTTCCACTAGCCCACTCCAATCAGCCTATCCAGCTGGCGTGCTTTAACGTCCCACAGGAGAACGGCACGCCTGAGTTGCTGTGCCCTGTGCTTGCCCTAGAGGCGTATATTGGTGCTACGCCCCATATACGACAGTCAGAGCAGCTCTTCATTTGCCATGGCGGCACGAGAAGGGGCTGCGCTCTCTCCAAACAGCGGCTGTCCCACTGGGTTGTGGATACAATCTCACATGCCTATGGGGCCAGTGGCCGCCCCCCGCCATCAGGGGTGAGATGTCACTCTACAAGGAGCATCTCAACATCTTGGGCTGCCCTGAGAGGGGTGTCCCTGGAGACCATCTGCGCCATCGTCTGGCACATTCTCCAGGTTCTACCGGGTCAATGTCGCCACTCCCCATTAGGGTTGCCAGAAACTGACCATGATCAAAATCGATTATTCGGCAGCCCTGGCGAATAATAATCGATTATTCTAAGCCAGAAAAAAAGAAAAAAAATACATAAATAATAATAAAAAAATATATAAATAAAATCGATTTTTAAAAATAATATTCGATTATGGAGACTGTAACGAATATTCGAATAATCGAATAATCACTGGCATCCCTACTCCCCATCCTTTGGGCGTGGTCCTGTTGCCGAGCTCCGCTGCTTCCAACTAGGTAAGCAAGTGTTTGGATTCTTCATGACATGGTTGGTATAGTCATCCAGTGCTAAAAGCACCGCCTCTGGCGGTCAGTAGGGACGAAATAGAATGATAGTTACGGCTGTAACTACAGTTCTATGAGTCCCGGATGACCGCCAGAGTTTCCGGTCTCTCAGAATTCTTGTGTGCTCGCGAGAAGATTCTGGGAACCGATCCACTAATGACGCCGGCCTATGTAGCCGTAGTCACGTGGGTCACAGGTGACTTTGTTGTTATTAGGTACTCGAACTGCGCATGCGTGCGATGGACATATCCAGTGCTAAAAGCACCGCCTCTGGCGGTCATCCGGGACTCATAGAACTGTAGTTACAGCCGTAACTATCGTTATGTTTGCCTTAAAGTACCGATGTGTAAGATTTAGTGGCATCCAGTGGTACGTTTTTTAAATACCCCTCAGTTCCCCCTCCCTTTCCTAATGTGTGATCAAGGTGATGTAAAAAAGGCCCTATGTAGGGCCAGAGACTGGTGTGTCTGTTCAGGAGTACAACAGAAACTGGGATTTGAATAGATGAATGAAAAAGGTCTTTATGAATTTATATTTTGTGTACTTATGTATATGTATATGTGGTACACCCCAACAATTGTACAATTATTTGTGTATTTACTTTTATTTATTTTTGCTAAACAGTGAATTTATTGTTTTGAAAAGCTCAACATTATCTGTATTTCTTTTGGTGACATTCATATCATTTTATGGTTTATCTGTACTGTTTGAGAAACAGTAAGAGTAAGTAGCGCCAAGGTGGAACCTTTGGCAGGTGAGCGGTGACGCCTGGGTTATCTTAGGGGGGACACTTCCGCCCCCTCCTCAGAAGCAATCCAGACGATCAATCGGATCCTGTGTATAATTATTGCTGCTGCACTTTTCTGTTTTCTACAGGTCACTACATGATCAAAATGATCGATGTTAACTTGTGTAAGTAAATGAGATATAATGTTAGAGATGTTTAAGAGAGCGTGTCAGAAAGTTTTGAGCTGGTCACCAGCAGTGTATGCTGGTGACCAGCATAGTATGCTTAATATTTACAATGTATTAATATTTGCACATTTATATTTTTGCAAAATGTGTACTGAACATGTATTGACACTTTTCAAATGTATGGCATGATTACACACTGTTAGTCTTGTCAAAAACACAATAACCACCTTTCACCTATTGTGTAAGTACATACAAGCAGGTCACACAGTATGATCACAAATACATGCAATCTGTTAAAAATCAGTTTTTATTAAAAAGTACAGGCTGCATATGTGTTCTCAGCCTTGGAGAAACTTGACATGTTTTGGTATGTGTAAGAGGTTAATTTCAGTAGTTGTGTTCTATAATGTATTTACAAAGTGTGAAGAGGAGGCAACTTTAGAATAGGGAACCTGTTCAGGTCAATTAGAGTCAAACTAGCTTATTGGTTATGAACAAGACTTCACTTTCTTAGATAGAAATACCTCATTTTGAAGTATTTACAGTAGACACAATTAACACTTATAGTTTTATGTCTTGTTCCATAAGAATAGATCATATTTGTTAAGTGTTATTATGGGAGAATTGCTATTCTTGTGGTACTACTGCCTTATTATGCCCATATTGAGCAGAGCATATTGAGACCAAAACTCATGTACAACAACTTCCTTACTTGCAACAAATAAGCACTAATTAGAGGGTTATTGAGGAAAAACTCTCAACTAATGGCTTATTACTTGTAGAATATGGTCATGTAGAATAAGGCATTAATAAGTGTTTTATAATGACTAATAAAGAGCCAATATACTGCTAATATGCATGTTAATGAACAACTTGATGGTGAATGTGTGTACCTTAATATAAAGTGTTACCATAAACATATACATATGCACACAAATGTATCATACACACATAAACAGTACATATAGGCCTTAAAATAAGACATTTTGGCCAGTGCATTTCGGGTCAGTGTTAAACTTAAACAACTTAACGCTGAATAGCACTTTTCCAGACAACCAAAATAGTATCAATAACCTTCATGAACTGGAATCACACTGAAATAGTTCAAGTTATAAGACAAGACAGGTCTTACATGTCAACACCAACAACCTGCAAATCACAAGGTAAATAATCCCCAAAAATGTTTGACCTCACCAACAGTCAAGGAGGGACAAAAACTCTGGCTCTAGACGGGGTTGGTGATCAATGCTAACGGTCCTCAGACTCTACTGCTCTCTACTGCTGTTTAAATCTGTGATAAGCTGCAAGTCTCCCCTCTCCCTTCTCAGTCTATCCTCCCCAAACTCAATCAAACAACAAAAACTTCCTGCCCAAACACTTCCCTTTGTTCCCCAGGCCACGCTCCCTCCCACGTGTGTATGATATATTTCCTTATAGTTGTGGTCATCGTGCACACGTGCAGGGAAGATGTCCATCTGTGTGACAAATAGTATTTCCCTTTCAAATGTTGTTTGCAATGTGTGTTCTTTTGGTGCTCGTTCACTATGGGCTGCATTAGCATCAGGCAGTGTTGGCTCAGAGCTGCACAGAACATTGACAATTGATGGACAGGCCCAAGTGCTTTGGCCCGAGTTCTACATTATGAGAGAGTTCTGGCATGTGGAAGGGCTTGGTTTGACAATGCTTTGGTTTCCACTGCCAGGTGGTATCGAAGCCTTGGAAATGTAGCTTGGACTTTACTGTGGGAAAGCTAGATGTCATTTCAGCGTTATGGTTTCCTGCATTTAGTCTGACTAGTAGCTAGACTAGTAGGTGTGTGTGTGTGTGTGTGCGTGCGTGCGTGTGCGTACCTGAGGCAGGGATTGAGGCTCCCAGCTGACTCTGTCTCCTCAGCAGCACCTCCTCTCTCCTCAGAGCTGCCATGTACTTGGAGTAGGACCACGACAACTGAAGGAACATTTCCAAAAATCCAGTCAAAGCGTGATTAGAAAAGTGCTTCAATTAGGTGATCAAGTTTCTCTTATAGTCTGTGGTTAGAACTGATGAGGCATTGTCCTCATCACTGACGTTTTTAATTTAATAGGTTATGATCTCCGTGAAAAGAACATAATTGTATTTGGTTTGGCTCGCTTCATTTGACACAAAATCATTTCTGCATGCATGATGTTTCCTCATTATTCTTACCAGCTGTGTGGGAGTCAGCAGCACCCTGCTCTGTGTCCTCCACTCTTTTGTTACATTTCTTCTCTCTTGTCCTTCTTCTATATCATCTTCATCGTCTGTCTCTTCCTCCTCTCTAAAACTGGACTCTGGTCTCTCCAACTCTTCCTGAGAAGAGAAGTCAGACTCAATTAGCTCTTTACCAGCCTCACCTCAACACTATGCTCATCTTTTATCCCCTCAGTACCTGAGATCTCTTCCTCTCTTCCTCTTCCTCCTCTTTTCTCCTCTGCCTCCTGACTGTGGCGCTGTGTTGGACCCGTCTCTCCTGCAGTAGAGGAAGAAGTTGCTCTTCTTGGACACTGCTGCTTAGCTCTTGAAACTCCGGCCATAACTTCAGCAGGGCACTGAACACTGACCTCTACACACACAGAGGAAGGGCACACACATGCAGCCTAAACACTGGAAAAATGTCACTCAAAGTGCACTCTTGGACACACTACCTGTGCCTCTCTGAAGATGTAAGGACCCAGCTGCTGGCGTCTCTCCAGAATGTACTGGGCCTGCTCAGGAGGGATGTCTATCTGCAGGGCGGGGGGCATGGATGAGTTGATGAAACAGTTTATGATGGTGGAGATCTTCTGCTGGATGGTGGCCTCGTCACTGTGGGAGTGGCAGAGGTCCTGAGCACAGGGAGGGAAGGGACTGATGAGGAAGGAAATGTGTGCTGGGAATCCTGGAATGAAGTTGACCTTTTTGCTTTGTCGTAAGACAGGGTTAAAGACCTTTTCATGTCTTCATTTGCTGCTCAATGTGCCACTGTCACACAAGTAAGATCAGTTTTTGTCATTTGACATTAGAAATGTCTGAATGTGTGTCTGCTCTGCTCTTCTCACAGGATTTAGCAACATTTGTATACAAATCTAATGACTGTCTTTTGCTTATGTTTAGGGCAATATCAAAACAATCTGATCAAATCACATTCATGTCGTCCTTATGAAACAGACGAGCTGAGTTTATGAGAGTGTTGCAGGACCTTGATATTAACACTCAGTGAGCAGCAGGTTATGACAGATTTACATTTCTGGCCCAAGCACGTCTTAAGACACAAAAATGCAATTGAAAAAAACATGTATGATGTGTTTTTTCCACCAAAAAATGTGTATTGTGGACAATCCTTTTCCATCACTGAATTCATCCAGGACAGACAAACGTCCCCCTTTGAGCAGATACATATGAAAACAAACATCTTTCTGCACAGACTTGGGATCCCTAAGTTTCTGTTTTGATTTCCTTATAGTTGATAGATAATATGGAGGCACGCAGGAAAGGAGAGCAGGTGGAATGACGCAAAGATCTCAAACAGGGCGATGTTGAACGCCACTCACAACCAGAAAGACTTCTTTTACCTTGTATCTCTGCACCTCTAGCCAAAAGAGCACATCATTTTCTAGGAAGTCTCCCTTCAGAGATGCAAAGTGCTGGAACCGCACACAGGTGTCGGGGTGGAGGAGGGTCTGTCGAAAGAGCAGGATCTCCTTGGAGGAACTCATCCACGAGCCCACCGCCTGCAGACATCCAGCAGAGAAGAGAGGTTTGTAACGAAACTGGAAACTGTTAGTCCATTACCTCAGGGATATAATGACCTACTCATGTGTAAACGTTATAGCAAACCCTTACAAATGTGCATGGTATAGATGATGCAGTACTCCAGAACAAAAGCAGAAGGATTGTCTGTGGCCTATGAGCTCACAGAAAGCTGAGATAATGATACTCTCCTTTTTCAAAAAAGCTGCTCTTTGCCAATGATGAGGAAATGAAACTACTTCCTGTAATCATCGAGCTTAAAATGCTCATGTGTTCTGCTGTAGAGCTGAGATGAGAGGATAGGAACAGAGCTACAGAGGAAACCCTCCCAACTATTAAAGAAAGGTAAGTATTGCCGATGCTTTCATTTTATTTCTCCTGGATCCAATTTAGGAAAACTAACCACAAGGCTTAAATGTTGTTTAACAAAGCCAGTGATGAAGTAAATCACACATGCTTTCAGGCCTTATTCGACTCCCTTCTAAACATCCAGCTCCCCACTGGATTCTCCTTACCTCCCAGGCTTCTTTCCTCCTCCTGGCCTCACGGTAGACGGCCTGCGAGGGCCTGCCAGCTGTTTGGGGCTACCACACAGAAACACACAGGTTCAAAGTAAAACAACTAGCATTAACAGAGACACTGAACGTCTCTCTGCTGCTATGTGTCCCTGACAGTAACGAAAGCCCTCTCCACCTGCTCCCTCAGTCTGATCTTAGTCCACATCTCCGCTTTAGAGAACTTTACCTCTCTGATGTCATCCGTCTCCTTAATGATCCTCTTGACCATCTTTACACCCGTCCACTCTCTCCTCCTGAGTGTAACGTTAAACTACGTCTACCTCTCATTACCTAATGAGAGACCAAACATGATAACATAATGAAGCAGGGTGGAGTGTGCGTTTTCTGTGTACCTGATGATGCAACCTGAGAGAGCGGTGGACAGTGTTTAGTGGTTTCTCACATTGCACAGCTGCTAATGTCTCCCTATCTCTGTCCACAACCATGGCAGTTATCACAATGACAAATACAATCAATGCAAGTATTTTCATTTAGTAGAGGTCAGGGTGTTCTTCATAAAATGATCATGTCTGCATCAAAAATCTGCCACAACGTTCAAATAAATATTTGAACTGAGTCCTGATCATCACCTTTTAGTTTAACAGTCTGTACATGTTTAATGTTGTGTGTGTGTAGTTCACGATGTTGTGAGATATCAGAACAATCTCTGGAAGTTTTCGTCACTGTACGAAAATTGTGGGCGAACCTAAAAATAATTCCTCAAAAATGTGAAAACATTTAAAAACATGTAACAATAGTGACCTGTTTTCATTCAAACAGATCGCTTTAGTCAATACTATACTCTGTCTGTCAGTATTCTTCTGAGTATTCTTCTGACGACAGTTTTCTCGTTTGAGTCCAGGCAGCGGAAAAAGATTATCTTCCAAAATGTCTGGGCATTTGTTCTTGGGTTTTAAGAGAATTGTGCTCAGTATGTTAAAAATCCGGATGTTCACCTTTGGTTGGTTTCTCAGTCGCTCTGTGAACTCTGCTGTGGACAGAAACAGAGGCAGCCAGGTTTTCTCCATGTGACTCCTGATGATGGCTTGGATCTGCACAACCACAGGATCTGAGAGACATTCCAGCTTCAGACGCTCCAGTCCACCTGCCTGACGCAGTAACTACACACACACAAACACACACAGAAAAAGCTTAAGCAACACACAGTAGAGGAAAAGTGTGTTTGATATGAATGCTAAAGATGTCTGACATCATGAAAAACATATGAGTACAAATGCGGCAAAAAAAGAAATGTCCATAGTGGGAAACCTGACTCAGAATCCCCTCCTTCCAGACTCCTGATTCCCACAATCCCTCTGTTCTCTTCATCTCCTCTGTCTGCTCTCTGTCCTCATATCGGTCTGGGCATGTCTTCTTTTTAATATCTCTTTTATATATTCTCTTATGTAATTATGCAAGCACACATGCATGCACTCACTGACTGACTGACTGACTGACTGACTGACGAATAAAAAAACGAATAACGAATAATAAAACTAATGATGTTCTATTTCAAAGTCCTACACATTGCTGCTTTAGCCCTTTAACTGGAACACTGCCTGTTGTCTGAGAACTAGTAGGCCAGCTTGCATAGAAGTCTTAACAGGCTTTAAATCAATGCAATGGTTACATGGTTGAGTTGTTAAGTTTCTGCTGGTGTGGTTTCATATAAATGTCTTAATAATTTAATTCAAGATACATATTCAAATAAATATGAATAAACACAATTCATACACACAGTGAAGTCTATGAAGGGGTGAATGAGTTTTCTGACAGGGATATTGGGGCACGTAAGACAAAGAAGGTTGGGAACCACTTTCCCTTCGCTACTATTAAATAACTCATAATAAAAACTACAAATCATCCATCCTTGGTGCCTCCAAAGCCTACTATCAGACTATAAATGTCAGGAGAGATTTCATCCTACTGTCATTCTTACTCGAGCTAGTATGTTTTATCTTTCTGGATCCAAACCACACTCTTCTCCTTGTTCTTGTTTTAATTCTAACCATGTCTTATTTTCCCCCAGTTCCCAGTGACACCCTGCTGTCAGAGCGGTCAGCAAAATGTCTGCCGGATGCCAAAGCAGGGAGATGGGGAAATGTGTGAGAGCCGCTGCAGCCTCTGTTTATCCAACCTGGGTGTTGAGCCCCTCCTGCAGTTTCCTCCCATCTTGGGATAGACGTGTAATGGGAATCTTGTTTCTACCGTGCTCTCTCTAATGCCTTTTCCAGGACGGTCACAACAATCCAACACTAATGGAGATGTGAATCTTCCAAAATATTTTTGAATGAACTGGTTGTTTTATAAATGATCTATTGACATACATCATTCTGTTGCTCTGAGGAGGCGGGGCTGTCGGAGCCAAAGAAGTATTTCCTGTTGAGGTATTTGGTAGCAATATGAGACGACCCCTCCTGTCTGACAGCCATGTCTCTCTGAGCAGTCCTTCTGTACTGCTCCAGATCCAGCCAGCATGTCAGATGGATACTGTGTGAAAACACAAACGTGCACAGCAATTGTTGTAAACTACGGCCCAATTCCAAAACGTCCCCTACATCCTCCTCCTACACACACTCCGTTGGTGTTATCGCATGGAGGTTCCGCCTCATTAAGTGCCGTTCCAGATCAATAAGTGGGGAGTGGGAGTGGGCTATCGAGCCCTCCAACAGCGAGTCTGTCGGTCCTGACTTCAACATCACTACCTGACCATGTCACTCTGTTTGTGTCCTTCACGATGAACGCTGTAAACAAACGTTTTCAAAAACGGCTTTTTGGTTACAAAGAAGGTCTTCAGAAGGCAACCAAAACAGACGAGGATTAGGCAGGAACAGGGTCAGGACACGAAGCTGGGTCAGGTACACGTGGAAACTAAAAACTAGGGAGAAATACTGCTAGAATGCTAGAACGCTTGAAAGAACAAAGACGAACTGGCATTGAGGGGAATGTGGACACAGACTAAAAAGACAGGGGGAGGGATTATAATGGGGCACAGGTGAGAGACTAATTAGGGATGGTTACGCAGGTGGGGCTAAATCAAAGTCAGGAAGTGCTGACACTGAAATGAGAGGTGAGAAACAAAATAAAACAGGAATATCAGAATGATAACAAAACATTAACCTGCTGGCTAGGACCTTACAACCGCCCCCCCACCTGAAAGAAGGGGAGCCTCGTTCAGCTGTGAGTGAGACTCCAGACGGAGAAGGAGTGTGTATGGGTCGGTTTGGAATTCGGCCTACATTTCACTGTATACACATCCTTTAAACAATTTACCTTCTGTGCATTTCCATACTGCCTTCATTTCCTTAGTGTGAATATCGTAAATGTTAGTGTAATGATTAATATATTTTGTGTTTGGCGTTTAGGTACATTTGAGAAAGGACAATTGCTTCACATACACTTAAAGGGATAGTGGAAATCCGCGAATGTTGGGTTTAACTTATGTATTTTTATTAAAAATAAGCATAATAAACAATTTTTTTTAATTTCATGCGCCTAGTTTCATTTTATTTTCAATTTTACTGCGCCCTCTCAATGAAACGAAATACTTCGGGAATCGTCGGGAATCTTCGGGTGATGACGAGAGCATAGGAAGACGGGCACAAACAATGGCGGACATTCAATAGCATTTGCATGTGAATAGCCGACCTTTATTACATTACATTACATTACATTACATTGCATTTAGCTGACGCTTTTATCCAAAGCGACTTACAATAAGTGCGTTCGTCCAACAAAATACAACTTGAAGAAAACAGAATCATAAAAGTACATCAGGTTTCATAGAGCAAAAACATTTCAAGTGCTACTCAACTGGCTTTAGAAAAGCCAGTCCTTTATTAGTATAAAAGTGCTTCGTTAATAGTTCTATCGCTCGAAGTGGAGTCGAAAGAGATGAGTTTTCAGTTTGCGCCGGAAGATGTGCAAGCTATCTGCCGTCCTGATGTCAATGGGAGCTCATTCCACCATCCTGGAGCCAGGACAGCAAACCCACGTGTTTTCGCCGTTGGGAACTTGGGTCCCCCTCGCAGCGAGGGCGCAGCGAGTCGTTTGGCTGATGCAGAGCGTAGTGCACGCGCTGGGGTGTACGGTTTAACCATTTCCTGGATGTACGAAGGGCCAGATCCATTCGCAGCATGGTAAACAAGTACCAGTGTCTTGAAGTGGATTCTAGCAGTTACCGGAAGCCAGTGAAGGGAGCGGAGGAGCGGAGTGGTGTGGGAAAATTTAGGAAGGTTGAAGACCAGACGAGCCGCTGCATTCTGGATGAGCTGCAGAGGTCGGATGGCACATGCAGGTAGACCAGCCAGGAGGGAGTTGCAGTAGTCTAGGCGTGAGATGACGAGAGCCTGGACCAGAACCTGAGTCGCTTTCTGTGTCAGCTGGGGACGTATCTTCCTGATGTTGTAAAGCGTGTATCTGCAGCAACGGGTTGTAGCAGTGAAGGACAGGTTGTTATCTAGGGTCACACCCAGATTCCTTGCAGTCTGAGTCGGGGAAACAACTGAGGTGCCGATGTTGATTGTTAGGTCAAGAGTGGGACAATCTTTTCCCGGGAGGAAGAGCAGCTCAGTCTTGTCAAGGTTGAGCTTGAGGTGGTGAGCAGACATCCACTGAGAGATGTCAGCTAGACAAGCAGAGATGCGTGCGACGACCTGGGTCTCTGAGCGGGGAAAGGACAGAATTAATTGGGTGTCATCAGCGTAGCAGTGGTAAGAAAAACCATGCGGGCTAATGACTGATCCAAGCGAGTTTGTGTACAGGGAGAAGAGGAGGGGACCAAGAACAGAGCCCTGAGGGACCCCCGTAGTTAATTGACAAGGGTCGGACTCAGACCCTCTCCAAGTCACCCTGTAGGTACGGTCTTTCAGGTATGAGGTGAGGAGGGAAAGTGCAGAGCCTGAAACTCCAAGTTTTTGGAGAGTGCGAAGGAGGATATGATGATTCACCGTGTCGAATGCAGCAGACAGGTCCAACAGGATGATGACAGAGGAGAGGGATGCAGTTTTGGCAGTGTGCAGTTCCTCCGTGACAGCAATGAGAGCAGTTTCTGTGGAGTGACCTGCCTTGAAACCAGATTATTATTATTATGGTGAATAGATGTGTTTTGTATGGCTGTAGTGCGACAGCAAATGCAGAGAATGGCGTATCGACGCATGCGTTTCCAAGAAACCCAGCCATTCGTCGTCAGTGGGTGAAATGTGTTCAGATAACACGGGCAAACTTCACGGAGCCGAAGCTGACGAGTAATTCGGCAGTCGTGTGCTCCCGTCATTTTACTGACGATTGTTTCGAGATTCCTCGGTCTCTAGCTCAAATTGAAAGTGGAATACATAAGAAGTGAGTATTTTATTATGTTTTCTTGTTGATTTAATGCATCATTAGCCTGTACCATTTTGTACAACGCCATTTATCCGGTACACAGTGTCGAATGTGTACACTACAGTCATCATATAGACATGATATACTAACAGTACTGTGAGTACAGCCTACACTTGACAGGCAGCCTGGCTAGCCTAGGATTAGTGATGACATTACATGTGTGGAATCTGTGGAGTCTGAGCTTTAAATCGTATATCTTGTTTGTGCAGTTAAGATAGTAATAAGGGCATTTCTACCGTGTGTTGTGTGTAAAAAAGCGTTAGCATTAGTTAGCATTGTTTCGCTCAATGCTAATTCAAAGGCTTGGTATTACTCTTGTGTTTTTTCTAGCTAACAATTGTTCTTATTGTCAGTTAGCGGAGTTTCTTACCTTTAAAAGGGTATGAAACATTAATAGTTTCATAAATGTTAAGAAGCCCTGAGACATGTGAGAGAAAAAAAACTGTGGGAGGGGTCCACTGGGGGGACCTTCGGGCTTAACTGGTTAACAATGATTAATATTTGTAAAGGCTACAGGTGATCTTAAGATGCGTGAGCTATGCTTAGGGACCTACCAGTCAAGATTATTTGTGCGTAGGGGTGCATCATCTGGCGCCTGGTCCTGGTCATCCTCGCCATTGCCCATGCCGTGAACCATCACCTCGGGCTCGGGCTCGAACAAATAAGGACGTAATGGTCCATCGTCTGGCTCAATATTGTCACCATCGTCGCTTACTGAACCGGATTCAGATTCAGTTCCTAAAACGACATTTTCGTAGGAAAGCCGAGAGGATGTTTCTGACTCGCTATCATCACTGGATACCTCGTACAATCCTTCTTCTTTGTCTGGTATATTTGCCCTTCCACGTTCATTCTGCATAGACGCCATGGTTTGTTATCGTATCGTCTTCCTAAGTTTTCGTCACTTCCGGTTTGGCTGAGTCGAACATTTCGTTTCTAAAAAACTTCGGGGAAGCTGCAATAAAGTGCTTCTAACATGCGTAAGGCAATTATTATATTTTTTTAATCAGGTGTGATTGTTTTGGTACGTAATTATGCTTGTATATAAGTTAAAACGAAACTATTTGAGGTTCCATTTCCACTATCCCTTTAACAAAAATATATATGTAACACTTTTGTTTTTGCTCCCATTTTTCATGAGATGAACTCAAAGATCTAAAACATTTTCTATATACACAAAATAACCATTTCTCTCATATTGTTCACAAATCTGAAAAAATCTGTGAAAGTGAGCACTTCTCCTTTGCCGAGATAATCCATCCCACCTCACAGGTGTGGCATATCAAGATGCTGATTAGACAGCATGATTATTGCACAGGTGTGCCTTAAGCTGGCCACAATAAAAGGCCACTCTGAAACGTGCAGTTTTATCACACAGCACAATGCCACAGATGTCGCAAGTTTTGAGGGAGCGTGCAATTGGCATGCTGACAGCAGGAATGTCCACCAGAGCTGTTGCCCGTGAATTGAATGTTCATTTCTCTACCATAAGCCGTCTCCAAAGGCGTTTCAGAGAATTTGGCAGTACATCCAACCGGCCTCACAACCGCAGACCACGTGTAACCACACCAGCCCAGGACCTCCACATCCAGCATGTTCACCTCCAAGATCGTCTGAGACCAGCCACTCGGACAGCTGCTGCAACAATCGCTTTGCATAACCAAAGAATTTCTGCTGTCAGAAACCGTCTCAGGGAAGCTCATCTGCATGCTCGTCGTCCTCATCGGGGTCTCGACCTGACTCCGGTTCGTCGTCGTAACCGACTTGAGTGGGCAAATGCTCACATTCGATGGCGTTCTGGCACGTTGGAGAGGTGTTCTCTTCACGGATGAATCCCGGTTTTCACTGTTCAGGGCAGATGGCAGACAGCGTGTGTGGCGTCGTGTGGGTGAGCGGTTTTTCTGATGTCAATGTTGTGAATCGAGTGGCCCATGGTGGTGGTGGGGTTATGGTATGGGCAGGCGTATGTTATGGACGACGAACACAGGTGCATTTTATTGATGGCATTGTGAATGCACAGAGATACCGTGACGAGATCCTGAGGCCCATTGTTGTGCCATTCATCCACGACCATCACCTCATGTTGCAGCATGATAATGCACAGCCCTATGTTGCAAGGATCTGTACACAATTCCTGGAGGCTGAAAACATCCCCAGTTCTTGCATGGCCAGCATACTCACCGGGACATGTCACCCATTGAGCATGTTTGGGATGCTCTGGATCGGCGTATACGACAGCGTGTTCCAGTTCCTGCCAATATCCAGCAACTTCGCACAGCCATTGAAGAGGAGTGGACCAACATTCCACAGGCCACAATCAACAAGCTGATCAACTCTATGCGAAGGAGATGTGTTGAGGCAAATGGTGGTCACACCAGATACTGACTGGTTTTCGGACCCCCCCAGACCCCCCCCAATAAAGCAAAACTGCACGTTTCAGAGTGGCCTTTTATTGTGGCCAGCCTAAGGCACACCTGTGCAATAATCATGCTGTCTAATCAGCATCTTGATATGCCACACCTGTGAGGTGGGATGGATTATCTCGGCAAAGGAGAAGTGCTCACTATCACAGATTTTTTAAGATTTGTGAACAATATTTGAGAGAAATGGTTATTTTGTGTATATAGAAAATGTTTTAGATCTTTGAAAATCTCATGAATCTCATGAAAAATGGGAGCAAAAACAAAAGTGTTGCATTTATATTTTTGTTCAGTGTACTAAGTCTTCATACTACTCACCTAGCATCGTGATTCTGTAGGAAGGACATAAAGTGTCCTATCTCATGGTGGTGACGGAGTAAGGAACCCAGACGGTAGCCTTTAAGATTTGGAGACACTTGGGACCAAGAATTAGGCGCATGGGCGCCCTTTGTGAAGGGAGTTGAAGGGTTAATAGGAGAAGGAAATAAGATGGACTGGGACTGCTCCACCTGTAGAGGATACACAGCAAAGAAAATAGGGTGTGGTTTTACTGAAGGCACCACAGTATGTCCTCATTGTAAATGGCCCGTTCAGACCAAGGCATGCAGTCTTTCACCAGGGGATAACTAACATTGTTATTAAGCAATACACTTTAGTGTTCACATTGGGAAACGAGATGTTTTATGCTCACAGGTGTGGGTTTATGGCTTTTATCAGAGGTCCAATAATAAATAGACCTGTGGATGCAGGCTGACCTGTTTCAGGCGGAACTCTGACTCTTCGTACAGACTCTGCAGGTCCCTGTACTCCTGACTGTCCACTCGACGCACCTCGTCCTGCATTAAGACCTGGAAACTCACACACACATGGTCATACACACATACGTACACAGCAATGGCATCACCTTGTGTCATTTATCAGTATTCAAGTGTTGTGAATTTCAATCAATTTTATCTTTACGGTGTTCATAGATGCAGATGTGTCGATTGAAATTTTTCTGTAGACTTCCTTAAGGAATAGTCTAGTTGGAAGCTCATATAGTGAACCTGGAAATAGAAATGTGCTGTATAGTATGAGTCACCAGCACTGCCGGATGCTAACTTGCATAAGTTTGGCAATTAGCACAATTAGCACAAGTTGTGTTCATTTGAATTGGCATTGTAGCCTATGTAAACAATAGTTTAAAAATGGCTTGGCCGATTTGGACAATTGTTGAGTGGTTTTGGGGTTATTGAGTATGCTGAATCCATTTCTGACTTGTTCAGGATTAAAAATGGCAGTTTTAACCAGAAAGTGGCAATATGTGTACTCTCTTGGGCATATTTTGACTACCATGAGTAGTGTTGCAACAATATGGATATAGAGCACAAGATGAACATTATTATACTGTGGACAATTTTTGCTTCAAATAAATAGGCAATCTGTCTTCAAATTCTAGCCAAAATGAATCAAAATCAGCCAACAAATATGGCCACTTTCTGGTCACTAAGCTGGCAACTAGACTCGAAGCCCAATTCTGCAGATGAAAGGGAAGTGCATTACACTGTGGATGTACTGCGACTACCTTCTGAAAAGACTCTTTGTCCCTGCTGAGCAGCAGCGTCCATGGCTCCAGCAGGATGTTTAGTGTGTGTTCCTCAACCCTGTCAAACACTTCCTCAAAAGCAGGCATGAGCTGGTCATACACCTCTGTTCTGATCTCCTCATCAACACCAATACTCCTCCTGGCAGAGCTGAAGAGATAGGTGGAGTAAAGGAGCTGAGGAGAGGAGAGGTCATAAAAGTGTCATCATTTCCTCTCCGTGTTTCATCACCATAGTTCTGTGCTCTCCTACACAATATTCACTATCTCTCTTCACAGCTGTACCCAATCTCTTTTCTTGCAACTTGAATGCAACTTTATTTTATTTCCATGGAAAAAAAGAGTTTCACAAATGCATATTTCTTGAAATGAGTTGGGTGTTGTACAATTGGCATCGACAGCAAAGTATAATCTAATGTAAGGAAAGGTAATGACATCATGAGCGAATAGATCAAATAGTGTATTGCAATTGTTTGACAAAAGGACAACCAAGCTATCCTATGAGGAATGTAGCACGATCCAACTCAACTATCATACTGCAATACACACTGTATATACTTTATGGATTTGTGCTTAATAGACAAAAGAATATTCCTTCTCCTCTTACAATAGTTTGTTATACTTCTGTTTACTTATGATTCCAAATAGCAGAATGGTGACAGTTTTAAAGAACTGACATTAGTTTTAGATCCATCCCACTACCCTAACATATATGTAATGTACATGCTGTGTTTAAATCAGACAGTAGTTAACAGCTTAGTACTTTGTTGGTAGTTGTGAGCAGAACAACGTGTGTGTATGGTGTTTGTGTGTGCTGACCTGTGCTTCCCTCTGCACTCTGTAATGGTCCAGTCCGTCCTGATAGAACAGCTCATGGTAGTGCTGCAGGTCAGTCCAAAAGTAAACCGCATTCTCCCACAGCTGAGACAAAAACAGAACTGTCATCATGGACTGGGTTTTTCACAGCAAATAAATAAATGTACACTTTAGATGTTAATGTACGATAACAGTTGCATTTCAACGTGCAATTAAGACTATATGTCTGGACATGTGATCCAAATGGCAAACTAACCAGTAGCTGCTATGGTACCTGGTTTCCAGATTGTTCACAGAAGTTTGTGAAGTATAAGCCGGCACACGAGTCAGCACTTAAAGCCTGGATCATCTTTTCCATTCTTCTGCTGTCCAGTAACTGACTTCTGCCAGAATATAACTGACGAAATACAAACACAGAAGAGACATCTTTTAATAAAATACATTTATCTAAAATAGAAGAAAATGATGGATGCAAAGATGTTTTCCTTTTTGCTTCAACAGACAATGCAACGATTCATCATGTAGTCTCTACAGTGTGCAGAAATAGTAAACAAATCCCATTATAGCTTCCCAGACCCAAGTTTAACATCTCAAATGTATATACAATAAATATATATAGATATATCTATATATATACACACACTGTATATATCAACGTACAATGATGTACAACAGAGAATGCCGCAAATCCTCAAATGATGTTTTTGTTTACTAAATGACTGTGTTCATATTCTTCATTTATCCTGATTAATCCACTTGTGATTTTAGCCTCACTTAGAACAATAGCAACAAATATGCCTTAGAGTAAATGACAGCAGCATCCCACCTGCTGAGAGAACCTACATTGAGAGCTACACTGCTGCTCATCTCTGATCATCTCCCCCCCTCAAACCAGGTATGCACCAAGTGGTGCAGTATCAAATCCTGATGCTCCTACCTGAGTATGGACGGAATGGGGGGAGGGGGGTCATGGTGGTGGAACCATGATGGGGCTGTGTGTCTGACAGAGGGCTAACACCGCAGGCTGTCCACAGCTCCAGGGGAGGGGGGTCTTCATATTCTGCCCGGGCACAGTGGGACGTCCAGAACCGAGGGACCCTGTGGGGAGAAGGAGGTGAAAATGAACGAGAACATTTACAGAAATACTTATTTATAAAGGTGTACTGAATCTACAAAACTGCACTGGAGCTGAAGACACCTACCGCTCAACCTACAGTTAGTAAAAACAGATGTAACAGATCCTGAAGGGTGAATTATTGTCATTCACTGTGACGTAAAAAAAACAGATTTACAATAACCAGCATTCGGCCCAAACACTGACTCACCCACAGAACTCTCCAAATTCACACTTTATTTTAGTAGCCGTATTAACACTGTGATAAACCCAGAAACATCCTTCTCAACCTGCCATAGGCCTCTCCTCTCATCTACAAAAAACCAGCATATGTCAGAATGTGGACTGGTGATGATCAACACAACATTACTCCTACCACAAAACGCACTCCTGTATCGACTACTTTCTCATCAGCAACTCACTCACACATGGAGCCACAGTTTCACAATTTCAGACCACACTCAGATCACTATCAAATAAATAACCGAAAATGTAATCACACCCACCACGCAGATGACACTTAAACATATTACTCCTGAAAGACCCAGATTTTAGAGTTTATTTAAAAAAAGAATGACCATCCTTGCTAGAAACCAACAACTCCCCTGACATAGGATCAGGAGGTAAGGAGACTGGTCACCCTATCCTCTCAAACGCCTACAGAAACAATAAGCACAGAATGACTCAAAACCAAACATGAATTGAACTATCTTCTAAATTAAAAACCTGAATAAAACCTTCTCAGACTCCATCGACAACATTTTGAATTTGGAAACAAATATGGCAACTTTCTGGCAAATCAATTAAAATAACAAACTCAAAGATCTTGTCACATAGAAGACCGCTCTGCGAAATGAGACCACACTGCAATAAATGAAACATTCAGAAACATTGACTCTATAGTTTGAACTATAGTACACAAACTGCACTACACCTGCCCACGCTGATGCGTTCCTGAGGACTGTCTCCTACAAAGCAGACCAACCCCTCACCGTAGATGAACTCAGTAAAGCACTGCTTAAGCCCAATAACAAGTCCCCAGGATTACATGGATGCCCAGTCAAATGCTATAAAAATGTCTGGTCATTACTTTTGCCTATATTCTTTCTATTGTTATTATAGACTTTCCATAGCCCAACATGTCCCCATCATATGAAAACCGATCACACAATAAAGACCCTATACACTGCTCCCGCTCTATATCATTAATAAATACAGATGTTCAAATCGGACTGGAATCTGTTATCCCATCACTTCAATCAGACAGGCTTCATTAGAGGGAGACTGTCCTTAGAATATATGCAAAGTATATTCCACACAACAAATCTATAAAAAACAAAACCTGACAGAAATGAATCACCTTCTGGCCATCAATGTGTCACTTGATGCAGAAAAGGTGTTGGATAGGTTATGGTGGCCCTTTCTCTTCACCTCCTTAAACCACTTTGGCTTTGGCCAACTTCATAAACTGGATTAAGACATATAACGTTTCAGCATCTGAAACCATCAATGGAAACATATCTCAATCGTTCATCCAAACAGAGGCACTAGGAAAGGATGCCCATTACTCTTTGCCACTCGCTTCAGCCATAAGACAACATGACAGCATTTCAGGCATTACAACAATTCACTCCACCATAACATTTACTTTATATAACAAAAGCATCAACATCCTTCCGTCAGTCCACAATCTGATTAGCAGTTTTGGCAAGGTTTCTGGCTCCTCCATTTATTGGTCTCAATCTGAGATTCTGCCTCTTAGCCATTTGAACTGATGCCGAGGTTGGGGGTCTTCCCTACCCACACAACTAAATCCATAAATACCTTGGTATCAAACGTATTGTAAAAAATGGTGGGGTTTTTCGTTGGTGGAGATAGTATTTATATGCTTTACTCAGGTAAAAGTACAATGTAAGTAAAACACCTGAAAAAGAAATGTTAAGTACTCTAAAGGGAAGTTTTATACAATTATTAAATTATTATAACATATACAGGTAAAAGCAGTATTGTTGTTGTAGTTGGTGGAGGTAGAACTTGGGAGGATTTTACTTCAATATCATTATTTTCATTATGGAATAATTTACTGATTATTCTATTCGTTAATATCTGAAAATAGTAAGAAATAATGCAAAGGTCACCACAGTCCAAACTGCAATCTCTACATTGTTTGTTTTGTCAGACCAGTTTTACAATTATTTTCTAAACCTATGGATAAAACTCAAAGTATATGACATCAAATATAAAGGTTATTGTCTTACAGTATATGCAGTTAAACACATTGTATCAAGTACAGTAGCAAGGCATATGAATGGACTAAATATGTCAATAAACACTTGACCCACATACTGTATACCATATGGGAACTTGAATACAGTGAATCTCACCAGTAGTGGAGCAGAGCCTCTGTGAGGGGGGGCTGGACGGAGTGCAGCCTGTCCTCCGTCCAGCAGGGGGAGGTGGTGAGTCCCAGCCTGGAGAGCAGCTCCACAGAGAGGCTGCTGCTCACCAGGTGCCTGCTCCTCATGAGGACCAAATACCTGATGAAGACACCACCATTTGATACTTTATTCTGTTTTTAAAAGCTGCTGCTTTTGTCAAAAATGTTCAATATTAAACCAGGACCACTTTGTAATTTTGTTTCCCCCAAGTTCAGTGCAGCTGTTAAAGTTGTATCCTGTTGTAATGTTTACCTGTTCTTCCGCTCTCTGTTCTGGGGAGCTTTCAGTCTCTCTATATCCATCCAGAGATTAAGCAGCTTCTCTCCTGACGTTCCTCGCAAAAACTCCTTTAACTCATCAACGCCTTGTCTATTGCCACGGCAACAGGTACCCTGGCAACAATTATCATGGATATTTTCCTGGTCTCTGTCTCTTCTCCCTACCTCTCTATTCTTCTTAGGCCACTTTGTCTTTTCTTCCCCTCCGCTCTTCTTTTTGCCTTCTTGAAGTTTCTCTTCCCCCCCCCCCAACCTGTTTGTGCCCCCATCAGCCAAATGCTGAATGCAAGCTCTACGTTCACAGGATCTGTGTGTGCTGTTACGACGTGTCTGCTCTCCTGACGTGCTCCAACAATCAGAAGTGTCTGTCTGGCTCAGTGCATTGTTCAGCACCTGTTTAACCACTGTGGCTGCTACTTCCTCCAGCTGCACTTCAGAAGACTCTTTCAGAAGTGTCTCCTCTCTAGCGTGCAGGCTCAACTCTGTGTGTGTGCCCTGGAGGATTGGGGTTTTCCCACGTTGAAGACTAGAGGAGGAACAAGAAGAAAACGTACATATGTTCTCCTGCTCAGAACATCTGAATGTTACACTGCATTGTGTGTTGAGATGTTCCATGTGGTCAGAGCATAGACATGTAACATTGAGCATCCTCATTGACCCTGAGAAGTAAGAAAAGAGGTCATATAAGAGTCCTTATCTCAGTAGACTCTAGCCTATGCAGTGAACATGGAGGAATCTCACAATTATATACTGTACCTTCTTTTACTGAACTGTTGTTTTGAGAATGTGAGCATGTTAGGACCTTAAGAGCTTTTTTGCTTTCCTGGTCAGTTTGGGCTGAACAACGCAGCTGTGGGGCTGACATGGGGGCTCCACCTGAACCGCCTTTCCTCCTGTGGATACACAAGACTGGGCTCCACCCAAACAACAACTTGGCTAGTCTGGGAAAGAACAGGAAAAAAATACATTCACAGAGAACATCATTTTCTCTCACCTTTTCTTTTATGATCAATGTTAATGGAATTACCAAACTTGGCAATTGATATTTGTGTTACACAACTTTGAAGTGTTATAAATGAGTGTCAGTCAGTACACTGGTCTTTACAGGGATCTGGCCCAAAGGCTTTTCTCAAGATGCACAAAGAAAGTAGACAAAAAGCTACACCTTGCAAATCATGACAAATGCATTCTTTGAAAAGATGAAAGACTGAAGCAAATCTTCTTTCAAATCTAGATAAGCAAGCAAGAATATTCACGTTATAGCAAAGGTTGGCAAGAATGAAAAGGACTGGAACTGATAACAATTAGTACAAATTAACACTAAGTTAATTTATAATATAGAAATATGTTACGATGTAAATACATAAAAATGTTCGTATAAAGTAGGTCAACTTCATTTGTATTGTTCATGACGTAGTAGGTTTAAATACTTGTACTACCTGTATTCACTGTAGCAATCACTGAGAAGAAAAAAAGGTAATCTTTCTTTGATGATCCACTGGATTCCTTGCTCTCGGTCCAGGCACTGCAAAGGACAGGGAGACACATTCCTGAAGTCAACCCCCTAACCCTATTTGCAGACGTTCTGCTCCTCTGAAAAAACTAATCTATCCACCTATCCATTTTCACATAAAGTGATCATTCATTGCTTACACGGACAGTGTAGCGGTTGTCCACTGGAGGGGTTCTGGGCGGCGCTGTGGGGTCTCCGGTGAGGAGCTGTGATTTGCTGCTGTGCAGGACAGATCGGATCCTTCTGGAGACAAAGTCAGCCGCCCCGTCCACCAGCTCAAACTGCCCTGTCTGAGGGTCGTACTGTAAGGCCTCTGGGAAGGACTGGATAAAGAGGCAAGGGTATAAGAAGGTAAAGTAACTAAGTACATCTACTCTTTACTCCTCTGTATTCAAGTTTAAGTACAGTTTTTAGGTACTTGTATTTTACTTGAGTCTTTCAATGTTTTGCTACTTTGTGCTTTTACTGTACAGTTCAGAGGTACATGGTGTACTTTTCCTCCACTACATGTATTGAATACCTCTAGTTACTTCACAGATGTGGATGAATGATGTGAAATATAATCAAGTGTTAAATCAGACTTTAGTTCCACCTGGAGTAAATCCACCAGCTACCCTGCAGAATACAAAGTACTTCAGACTAGCTGCACCTTTACCAGCTTTGAGAACACTTTCATGATCAATCATTATAAAACATATCATATATAGTATTCTGAAATGGACCAATCTGCACAACGACTACTTTTACTGTCGCTACTTTCACTATATTTTGATGAGAATACTTTTATACTTTAACTTGAGAAACATTTTTGAATGAAGTCACTTTAACTTGTAACAGAGTATCACTTCACTCTTGTACTTCTACTGAAGTGCAAGATCTGATTCTTTCTTCAACCTCTGAAGAAGGGAGAATGAGTGTAGTGAAAATATTCTACATCAACACCTCAGACTAGCCTTACCGGCAGATTTAAGAAATCATTGAAGAAGTGAACCAATACTTCATCAGAGGCCAGAGAGTTCTCCTGCAAATGAAAGAGGCAAAGTGAGGACAAACTGATGGAAACATTGACTAAACATGTCAATAATCCAAATGTATACTCACAAAATTGCCAGCAGTAAGGTTTTGCAACTCTTTAAAAACACAAAGTCACATAAGTAACAAAACCAACTAGAGATCCAAAGAAGTCAATTGAAATGTCTTAAAAGTAAAGATCTCACCTGCTGACACTACTCCACACATTGTTAACTTGAAAAATACAAATGTCCACAGTCTTGGATCCAGCTGCTAGGAAGCCAGGCAGTCACATTAGAACTTCGGACAGCCTCAAACCTCGGTGTTATTACAGACACACTGCAGGTTGCTATGGAAGTGGACTCTTTTCAAAACACAGGGGGTGGTAAACGTTTAACTAGACCAGAACGAGACAAAGTTAATGATTTGTTGCTTTCTGAGAGCCAGAAACATTTAATCCTCAAGTCTTAAGACATTTTTATTTTCTGTGACCATCAATAAACCCTTAGATGTTATTTGGAAAAAAGTTAAAGAGAATGAGATTGTCAAGAGCTAAGACAAGTTACAGTAACACCACTAGATGGCGCCAAACACTAACACATGTATGGGGACTGCAGTCAATGGACCAATCGTTTCACAATTAAGGGACAAAACACGTGACACGTTTAAAAAAAGATAACATTTATTTAAAAAAATACTCTGAAAACACATTTGTAAAAGATGAAAACCTCAATTCCATAAAACATTCTGTACAGTTGATCAATGTGTATAGAACAATACATCACCAGCTAAATAAAATCATAGTTCTGCTGATGAGACTTCCTTCACATTCAGAATTAAAAACACACAAGTAAGAACTGTGTTGAAAAAAGTAAGGGGAAAAAAAAACGGTACAAAGACAGGCACAAAGACACATGGATAAGTACAGAAGTTGCTCTCATGTACTGGCTCTTTGTTGTCAAGCCTCATCTCCACCATTTGGCAGAGGAAAAAGCTAAAGTGACCCCAGCATAAGAAAAAACAATGACAGTGCACTTCCTGCTCATAGTCTCCGAACATTTCGCTTGCTTTGAGCGCTCCCTGGGAGGATGATGTCCTTCCTGCGGCGGCCTACAGACTGGCTGCCACATTCTCTGGAGCCGTGGAAGGCACACAGGCAGGCGGAGCAGAACTGGAAGGCGCAGTCCGCTGTGCTGCACACCCCCTCCCGCTTCACTGAGTGGCACCTCGCGGGGCTCTGACAGCGGGGGCATGGCTTCAGGGACTCATCGTTGAAGAGCGTTTTGGCAACCTGAAAGAAATATTCAAATGAATTAAGTTTGCATAAACTTCCCGGACCAGTCCCTTCAGTAAGATGCATTTAAAACCCCAATCATTCGATTTGTATGAGTATAGGTATGTGCTGCATGTATGTATATGCATATATATTTATCTAACAATGTTCCTGATGTATAATCGTGTGTATGACTTTAGTTGTTGTTATTGTTGTTTGTGTTCTTTGTAAAAAAAAAAAAAATCACTTTGTACATACAATCAGTACAGACCACCGTCTCAATTGTATGAATATATTTAGCTTTCCATCTATAAATGACAAACACTGTTATGCATTGTCGAAACAATACAAAGATTTTTGATCAGAAAACCCCATTCATACTTCAATGAACAGCAATCAATACAGACCATAATGTCATGTATATAAACATTACATCAGGGGTCGGCAACCTTTTTGATATGAAGTGCCATTTAAAAAAATTAATTGTTATCAGCGTGCCAATGATCGAGAATCATCAACGGGGGGGGGGGGGGGGTTTAGGAGCTTGACGCTCGTGAACTATCAGCAGGACGGCGGTGGAGCCTCGCTGCGGGGAAGCAGCGTGTGGACCTGTCAGCGCAACTTACATGATGCCGAATTTAACAAACACATTTAAATAATTGGTTTAAACGGCATAATAATAAGGACGATCGTCCGTTCTGTGATTCTCCAGAATACACATGTTATGATATTAAGGTCATGCAGAGTGAGATGAGATCGCTGTCCCTTTAAGAGAGAGAGAGAGAGAGGGGTGTGCGTGTGTGTGTGTGTGTGTGTGTGTGTGGATGGTAGAGCGAGAGTGAGTGAGCGTGTGTATGTTTCTGGAAGTGAAACGAGGAAGCAGAAAAACAGAGGTCTGTGATGTATTTTGTGAAACAGAAGAACAGCTAAATAAATGCAACGGCCTCCCAGTCTAAGCTAAAGTGGGTTATTGAACCTGAAGCTTGTTGCTTCTGCCCTCCTCGACTACGGTCTGGGAGCCGACAGGAAAGTTCAACACACAGATGGCCAGTCCGCCCCTTTGTAGCATATTATTTCGATGAGAGATGAGCAGATCGCCACTGGGCTTTCAACTAAATACACAGCCACGCAAAAACTGCGGCATTTGTACAGCTCCTTATGGATACTGCAATTTGTGAAGTGCTTTCCTCTGTGGTGAAACGATCAGCACCACGGAGGAAAGCGGCAGAAAGTCACCTGGAGATAAAGAGAGCGGGGCTGCGCTGCGTGCATGGCTTCCTTCTGCAGGTAACAGGGAGACGCGCTCTGGCGGCGGTCTCGTTCAGGATCCAAAAATACAATTTAAATATGTTGCACACTTATTCCACTAATTCCTAGTGTGCCACTGGTTACGGTGCCAGGGGTTGCCGACCCCTGCATTACATCATCTATTTAAGTCCAGTTTTATAAAAAAATAATACTCACTTCTAGAAATGTGTCCCTTTTGTGGCTGCTGCCTGGATTCAAGGTGCTGAGCCCTGATGGGGTTAAAGTGCTATTTGCTGACTGGGGGGTGCAGAAGCTGAACGACCTAGATTGGGCCTGAACCGTCTTGAGGGCCGACCTCTTGAGCAGAGCCAGTCTGGTGTCGGCATCAGGGACACCCCCGCCGTGCTAGAAAACAAATGTTTATAACAGTATTAATAAACTGGGTGTCAAATGTTCAATTACAATACAACTAAATCTGCTTTTGTTTCCATGCGCAGGAAGATGGCAACAGTTATATATCAGATCTCTAACCTCAAGAGCCGCCTCCATTTCACTGAGGTGGCTTCTTCTCTTGAAACTCGCTCGCTTGTCTTGTTGGATGATTTCATTCCATTTTTTGCACACCCGACCACACCTGCCCAACAAAAACAAATGCATGCATGACAACAATTTACCCTTTAACACTAGCAAAACTTGGTTATTGCTCGAAACATGAGGCCTGATAGTTTTGCACTAATTTAATAAAAACAATTTTAAAAGCCTGTACCGGTCTGACATAAGCTTCAATGATATGCTGTATGAATTCTTCAGGATTCTGTTCAGAGTATATCATTTATTTCATCAATGCTGCCATCAAGTAATGACTCAGTTTAATGAACGCTATATTGCAAATCAACCTACTTTTAACCTTTGAGACATATGGAAGGAGTGCCGAGTTGTACAATAGATTTAACAAAATGTTCAGGTAGCTAATTCTGTAAAAATCTTGAACCTGTAAATGCCATGCGGGGTCAAGTGGCTGAGGACCAGGGCTAGGATGTGCCTGAGGTTCCTCTTCTTCAGCTCTGAGAGTATGTCCACCTTCCTCAGGCCCATCTTCCTGCCGATGAGCCCTGCCAAAGGCATGGTGGTCCTGAAGGTCACCGGGGTCTCAGCCAGGGCTGCAGTGGACTTCAACTGCTCCTTCAGACTTGGACTTTGGCCAAAGAACATGTGCACTTTCTGTTGGCACATAGCATGAACCAGCTGCAGAGCAGGAGTCAGAGACAGATTGACTGGGGTTGTCCTAAGATCTGGATTAGCAGGTGTCATGTTTTCTGGCTTGGCTGTATTTTCCCTTAGTGGAGAGGCATCACCTTGTTTGGCCATGGTCAAATCAGACATCACACTATGTTTAGCAAAAAGTACGCTGCGAGGGGTGGCACAGTCAGCAAAAACATCATCTTCTTTAGAACGGCTGTAAAGACGGTCTTGCTTTCTTTCCGCTGGGTCATCCTCAGACTGAGAGCCCCCTTCTCTAAGGGTAGAGAGCCTGTGCTGGCGCTGTAAACGGGAGCACCGCTTTGCCTCTGCCAGATTGGGGGTGTCACAGCTTCCTCTAGAGGCCGACAGCAGCAGCAGCTCCAGGAAGGAGCCGTCATGGTCCACCGAGGAGTCTTGGGATTTATCAAGGGCCAGGGAACTAAAACCACTGTCTTCACACACAGACCTGTTCCAGGGGTAGAATGGGGTTAGATGCAGGTTTCTGAATGTTTAAGCAAAAACGCCCTTATTAATTGCTTTTACAAGCATTTATAAAAGAAAATGTACAACAAAATCAAGAAATTAGTACCTGATATATTTTGGTGTATGTGAGGATGACGGGGTGTACAAGCCACTTGAGCTGTCATATAGGTTATTTTCCACGTGGCTGACTGGTGATTGAGAGTTGTCCTTAGAAGAAGCAGGCAGGGATTTCATAAAGCATGAAGTTTCATTAGGACCTTGATCAGAGGCAGAAATGCTCTCACTGAAATCTGCATCTGTGAGTGAACCTCGTCCCTCAAAATTGGAAAGATTACCGGAGTTGAGTTTACCATCTTCAAGAGTGGAGGTCCTTACTTGGGTGAAGAGGATACGACATTTCCTACCAGACAGTGGCAGATCCTGTTGGGATTTTAAAGTGCTTGATGCAAAAGCCACAGTGTCCAGAGAGTCAAGCGATGCACTGAGCCAGTGTTCAGACTTGACTCTGATTGGAGATTCAGTCCTTCTGCTGCATGGGGATCTTGTGTTGTCAGTTTTGTCCGTGGAGGGTTTGGACAGCAGAAGTCTGTGTCGCAACGAGGCATCTCTCTTGTATACTTTAGGAGTTTCGCACCAGTTAACTGTTGTGGGCCGCTGTTTCACTCTGGAGTCTTTAGCCAAAAGTTCCACTGCTTCTCTGGTGTTCTCTTTAGGTGTGACTGCAAGCCAGAGGTTTTCCTTCTCTTTTGGCCTTTCGCTGAATTCCACTGGAGATAAAGCTGGACAGGAGAGCACAGCAGAGAGGCTCTGAGGGCTGTGGAACAGACCCGAGTATCCGCTGTCAGCGCAGTCATCAAAACACTGCTGCTCTTTGAGACTCTCCAGGAACACTTTGGATTCAGGAGTGCACTGCATTTTCCTCCTCCCATACACCGAATTCTCCAAGAGGGGATGATGGGACCTGCAGACAAACAACATGAGTGAATCCTCAGGGACAGCAAAGCATGAAGTGAGCAGAGGTGGGAAGTAACTAACTACATTTACTTAAGTACTGTACTTGAGTACAATTTTGAGATACTTGTACAGGTAAATGGTGTACTTTTACTCAACTACATTTATTTAATACCTTTAGTTACTTCAGTGTTTCCCATACATTGATTTATTTGTGGCGGGCGGTGCCCCCACAAAAATAATCAAATGATGTTGGAAACACAGTACTTTTGTACCGTTTTTGTAAATAGGTGTACACAAAATATGAACAAAATGATATTCTTCTGAGGTATACAAGTAGATTCAGCGTGTATATCGGCAGTTTGTTGAACACAGCGTCCCAGGTTGGCGTTGCTATGAGAGGCGTTTTCCACTAACAACCCCCCCCACACCCACCCCCGCTGCCTGATCTCTCTGCTGCCGCTAGAAAACGAGCTACAGCCGCCAAAATCCGCCACTGGCCCCTCGAGCTACACACTGCTGCCAGGGGACCCAGGCACGGGCCAACACTGTGTGTTCACACAGAACAACATCAAGGAAATAGCTGTTAGCATTAATCTGGTCCTCGTGTCCGGAGGCCGGAAAGGCCAAAACATTAACACACACGAAGACTAACAAATGTCAAAATACAGTTTAAAAAGGAATGAAGATGTCATCAATTAATTAACTTAAAGGCTGCGCTAAAATATATATATAACAATTTCACATAGCAACCGCATGATGGGAATCCCCCGTGTTAATCACCTGTGTGCTGCTGTTAGCCGAGCAGACATCTGGGTGTCGTTCAGCTGCTTAACGTGGAACATTAGGGGAGTAGCTACATACAGTCATTGGAGCACAAATTGCAAACATACATTTTGAAAAAAACATACTTACAGAAGTCTGACACGTGACTGCAGAGCTGTGTGCAGTGATGTCCTCCGGCCGGTCTCGAGTTGAGCACCACTTGTTTCTGTTACACGTTCCTCTGCAGGGCACTGGAGTCGACTGGACAGCCACTGATCAACCACGTTTTCAAATTTGGAGCCCTCTGTCGACGGTGTCACGTGTTTCCGCTCTGGAGTACAGATTACTTCCGTTTGCGGTTTCCATAGTAACAAACAGTTTGTTCAGCTACAGAGACCGAACAGCCACAGGTAATACACTTATTTAGTTTTTCAATAGCATAATAACGTTTATCGGCCAAGAGGACTACCTAGATTTTGTAAAGAAGGATTTGGCAATTCCTTTGTTAATTTCTCAAAAACAAACTTCTAACTCACGTTATTTTGATCACATTACGTAATTTAGCCTAACCTTTATAAATGTACAGTAATCTAAATGAAATAGTTATTTATAATGTTGTATTGCTTTCTACCTGCTTATAACAGAACAACATTGTTTGAGGAATAACTGAGTGGCATTGTTCCAGATATGAGCCGCACAGAGGCATCGTTCCCCCCTCACCACCTGGCCCCCCCTCACCACCGCCCCCTCCCTCAGGACTGCAGCGTCCCTGTGGAGCACCTGGACTACGACTACATTGGAAAATGCAAAGATGTAAAATACCTAGAGAAGATCTGCACGGTACTCAGGTAGAAGCCACATAACTGAGGTTGAGTGTTAAAGGGCCCATGTCATGGCCATTTCTACTGATCATAATTCCATTGTTGAGGTCTACTAGAATGGATTTATATTGTGCAATGTTCCAAAATCACATTGGTTTCTCATTCAGCATATCTGTATAGAGAGCCCACTGTGCTCTGATTGGTCAGCTCGCCCACAAGTTCTGATGAGTCCACCACCGTTACAGCGGAACATCAGTGTTTATGTGTTACAATGGCGTTTGTTAGCAACTAGAAAATGACACCAGTAATGACAAACAGATGGGAATGCTGCGTGGGGTCTGGGTGCCGTGTTGGCGGGATGTTGCGCGGCTCGCTGCTGCGAGGAGCGGACAGTGTGAGCTGGGTTAATTTCCTGCGTGCTGCGTGGGGTCTGCGAGACATCGCGAATGGACGGGGGAAGGCTCCACTAGCACCCCCCAGACTGTGTGTGAGGAGCTCCACGGATTGGTCCATTTGGACCAATGGGTCCATTTAGGTATGGGCATGTCACGGTACCCAGGAAGAAAACAATGGAAAATGAGAAATGTCCAACGTGGCGTTCTGGGGCAGCATAGACCGGTATTTTCTGTGTTAGAGTTTTACTCCCTACAGGGTGTACTTTGAGGGTTTGTGACTCTGCAGACCGTTTACATGCAGAAGCTACATAACACACAAGGGGACGGGTAATAACCAGAAAAGCATGACATGGGACCTTTAAAAAGGCAGAATTGATTTAGTATGGTAATCAACAGAGGTGTAAAGTAACTACCAATTGCAAAAGGATAAAGGACAAGATTATAACTCAATACAGTCTAATATACTTTTAAGAAAATAATATTTTACTTTGTGTAAAGGTCTGGCGACGAGGGCATTTATCCTCATCTAATTATGTTCTGTGAGGATCACTTGGAAAAACTGGACCCTAGGAGCCTGGCCCTCAGGAAGGAAAAGCCTGTGTCCACAGCTGCTTGCCTTCCAAATGATGAGTGGAGCCAAATTGCTGATGAGTTGAAGGCATGCAATATATCCCTTTTTTGTTTTAAATAATCCTGTTCACTGTTGTCTCGGATATAAAGTCATTTTTCAAATAAATACTTTTTTCTTTACAGAAATGGCAAGAAGAAACCAAAGCGTCAGAGACTTCACTGAAACAGCAGTCAATGTTTGATGCTCTGGTGTTTGAAAATATGCCACCTATAAGAGGTTCCAATTGCTCTGTTCCACTATGCCAGGTAAACAGTCTCCACCTGTGTACGCAACAGTGTTAAAGTAAAACACATACTCAAAATGGAGTCTCCTTTCATTACAGACTTCAGTTAAAAAAGAAAAGTGGACTCTTTCAAAACACACTCTCCCACGTGATTATCGAGAATGGGACAAGTAAGTCATTGTGTCTCTACATTGGTCTCTTATATTCAGAAGAAAGAACACACTGTCAAAGCAGGCCCTGTACATGAAAGGCTCCAGAGATGTAACTGTGTGAAATGGCCTCAGCAAAGCTTCTTTCATAGCAATGACCAACAGTTAAATGATTGATGCTGCAGCATCACTTTGCAGAATATCTCATTTTCCAAAATAATGCTTTATTTCCAGGTTTGATGTCGAAAAAGAGTTTGAAAAAATCGACAGAAATGTGGATAAACATGATGCACCTGCCATTATAAACCAGGGACACCCCAAAATCAAAACTAAAGTGGATGCCTCATGTAAGGTGTTACGCATAGCAACTCATATTTATTTTGTGGTCATATAGAAACAATAAGTATGTGGGAATTTGTCTGAAATATGTGTTCCCAAAACGTCCAGTGCTGACACAACAGGAGAAGCTGCTTCTTGCAAATCGCGAAAAGGAGAAAGGCAATGAAGCTTTCAGAGCCAAGGATTATGAGGAGGCTGTTGCATACTACTCCAGGTCAGGCTATTATAAAACATATCTTACATCTCTTATTATGTTTCCTGGCATTTCATTAGATGTGTGTTGTGCATCCATTCCCATATACTGTTTCGTAAAGTGTTTGTCCATTCATCTCATCGTTTTATTCCTGGCTTTTCATTACAGGAGTCTTTCCATCCAACCGGCTGTGGCTGCATACAACAACAGAGCACAGGCACAGATACACCTCCAGAGCTGGCACGATGCCATGAGAGACTGTGAGAGGGTTCTGGAGCTGGAGCCTGGCAATATGAAAGGTGCTTATAGCTTTTGTAAAGTAGCATTTTAATGGAGTTACATGCCAACAGCAATATGATTTTATTATTGGCATAATTTCATTGTTTCACTATAGCTCAAAACACATTATTTTGCAACATTAAAGCACAGGATGTAAAGAAAGAATGTATGTAATGTCTGTACTGTTTGTGATTGATCTTTTATCATTAGCCTTGCTACGCCGTGGCACAGTTAATAATCACATGGGCAACTTCCAAATGGCTGTTGAAGACCTGAGGGTGGTGCTAAGGGAAGAGCCGCAGAATGCTGCAGCCACGGTGGGTGACAGCAGCCTGACGCATGGTGAACACATGCCTGCAGCCGGTTGGTCCACTAGGTGTCCCTGTATTTGTGTGAGACCAGGCTCTTAAAACTCACAGCAGCTACTGCACCATCATGTAGTTTGTTATTCCTGTAAAAAGAGAATGGTGTCATTTTTTCAATTGTTGTATGTATTGTATTTTATATGTATTTATACATATGTATTTTGTTTAAAGGGAATTGTTTATATGTCAATTTTTCAAGGATTTCAATGTACTTCAGATAAATCAGAAGGTGTTCCTTTTACCACTAGTCAGTAGTGTTTGGATGATACGGTAGACACATTATAATGTGTGAGTTGTTTTTGGATATAGAAACTTCTATTGGAAATTGAGAAGAAGATGAAGGAACGTCAACCCGAGCAGCGACGCAGAGGCAAACAAATCCTCATCCAAGAAGTAGAAGAGGAAGATGACAACGATAAAACCAGAGCCAAAGAGACTGGTGAGGACACTTCCATAATCAATATCTACGTATATCCTTGATGAACACCCAGACACTGGCCAGTGACTGCTTATCATTTCCTAAATCCATTCAGAAATCTATTTATGATTAGTTTAAATGAAGGTAATGGTCTCTTAGCTATATCTAACACATCATGGATAGTTAGGTTAGATTGTCTTTTCATTGAAAATCCACCTTTTTAACCAGTACACATGTTTGTGTTGTGTATAAAGCAGTGGGCTGCAGTTGTTCACTAATTATTAATACTGTTCTCAATTTAGAAACGAACCACCTAGTTGAGTAGATTCAACAGCTCTATGGTGGGTCAAATAACTGAATTTGCTTAGTTGTACAGTAAAGTCTGACTCTGATACCTTATGTCCACCAATAAGTCATATCAAATTGTAACTTTACAAGTGTTTCAAATAAGAGAGAACATCTGGACTGTGAAAATGTGTGTGTGCATGTATATCTTATGTGTGTGTGTAATGTTCTTCTTCTTCTTCTTCTTCTTCTTCTTCAAGTAATCAAACAGCGTAATATATATATATATTTAAATAAATAATAAAATAGAAAAGCTCCATTGCTGCCAACTCTTTTCCAATAAAAGTAGCTAGTGCCTCTGGCTCTTAGAGTATATTATTTTTATTAAAAAAACAATTCGATTCTGGTTTAATCTAGGATAGGAAAACATTTAACAACAAAGTGGATGAAATAAAGAAGAACATGTCTATGAGGACACGGGGAGGCGTGTGGCGCAGTGGATATAGCCTTGGTGTTGGGATCAGGGGGTCACAGGTTCAAACCCCACTGCAGTCAGCAAAGTACTCCTGTGGGGATTGCCCACAGTATTGAGTATGTGAGTCGCTTTGGATAAAAGCATCTAACAAGTGACATGTAATGTAATGAAACATTATTAATGAATATCTGGCTGATAGGTAGGTTAAAGTTCACATTTAAAGATGTTGACAATTCCATCCATTAAAACATTTATATGTATGAGATATAGTCAGGAAGTGTCTCAATGACCTTTATAATAAAGACAAAGGTTTGTTTTCCAAAGTCAAATGTCCCACAGAACGTTTCTTATTTGTAAGTATTTAATAACTAGATGTAAAGGATCATGATGAGTTTTTGGTTACATTTTATATATATATTATAAATATATATTTGTACACTATTCTGTAGTATAGCTGTAGATGCCTGCTTCACTAAGTCCCTACTTCCTCTGCCTGGCAAAGGATTGGCTCTCTAAACCAATGAATTACACACAACATGTGAGAATGCTTCAGAAACACTAAGTGGTGATAGCAGTCATTTTCATCACAGCCCCTCCTGTGCTGCAGAGAAAGGAAACACCCATGGCCCTCTGGGTAACGTGACATACTATGCGTGCGCGTTATCTGCCCTCCCCCACCAAGCACTTTGCTTCACTGAGCATGGCTGCTTCCTGGAACTCCCTCTTTGAAGTGGTTGTGTGTCATGTGTGTCCAACCCTCCCCCCACTGTGATGTAACCACTGACTCCTTCCTGTGGGCGTGTCTCCCCTTTCCCTCTGCCTCTCCCTTCCCTCTGCCTCTCCCTTCCCTCTGCCTCTCCCTTCCCTCCCTCCCTCGCCCTTCTAGCCCGTCCGGTTGAACCCAGCCAGCCTGTGGGAGGGGAGGAGAGCTCAGCTGCTCCTGTCGAGAGGGGAGACATGGGTAACACTCAAAAGAAGCCCCACAGCAGAGGGGACGGGGGTCCTCACAGTGAGCCCAACAACTCCCACCACGGACACCGGAGAGGCAAAGGAGCGAGCGCAGACAAGTACAGAGTCACGCAGGAGTCCAAGGAGAAGGTGGCCAATGGATCCGGCAAGAGGGGCTCCACGGCTTCAGCCCCAGCTGATCCCAGCAGCAGGAAAGAACCCCCGGTCGGAGGAAACGCAGGGGAAACCGTCAACCTTGATGCTCCATGTGGAGCCCTGCCCCCGCCTCTGTCCCGGCTAAAGAATGAAGGAAACCTGCTGTTTAAAAATGGACAGTTTGCCGACGCACTGGAGAAATACTCACAAGCCATCCAAGGCTTTACAGATTCAGGTAAGGTGGAGCAGTCCTCATCATGGTGGATGATGTTGTTGTTACCATAGATACAATAATATAATAGTCTGTGGTGGTTGGATCAGTCACATTGTGTGGAGGATAAAGCTGGATGTATGATAAAGAAGTTTAGATGCGCCTCCTTGTGCGTAATAACATGTGTTCTTATAGCAGGGTGTTATACACAGCTGTAATGTAACTGGCCAGCTTCTTCACCAGTTTATCCCCCTTATTTTAATACATGTTGCTTTATGTTGTTTAATCATCAATGCTCTTTAGGACTTTCTCCAACAGGCCATCGCAATTATTGTAAATCAAAGGTCACATGACCTTGCAGCTATAAACCTAGTGCTTCCCTTTAGTTTGTGTTGCCTTATCAGTGGAGGTAAAAATTAAAACCACTTAAAAGGCAGTTTTTTCCATGAGGGAAAAACCTCAACAAGCGAACTGATCTCCAAGAAGCAGTCCACATGACATACTGTACAGTGTGGAACTGTGGCAAATGGCAATGGTTCAATATTCAGGAGTTAAAAGGTCCCAATGTTTGTTTTGTGTCTTCCGTGACTCTCTCCTTACAATAATGCGCCAAATTGTGGCAGTTGAGGTACATACGGTGGGACAGTGTTTATGTTTGAGCCTCAGCCCGGTGCTAAGCCTCTCAGCTCAGGTCTGCCTAGGTCACATGACCACTAACCACTCACTGTGAAATTGAATCTGTAGGACTGCAGCTATAATTCTCACAGAGAGGGAGACAGAGGGAGAAACCGCTGCCTGTCAGGTTCAACATGCAGACAATTAACTTGTAGGGAGGGAGACATCTTTACATTCACACTTTCTTTTACAGTCGTTAACACAGTTCGTACTGTGAGCATTTTCTGAGACATCATCATACTACCTCACCATGTCATCATCTCAAATCAGCTGATCGAGTGGCATGCTAAATCTGTTTTAGTGTCGCAACAGAATGCTACTCCGTCTCTAATATACAGTATAAGCTTGATGTGCCTGTGTCAATGATAATGATTGTGGAAACAACAGGCTGTCAGGCTATAAGAATAGCAAATACTGTGTGCAATAGCTTGAGAGCAGGCGGTCGAACTTTCAGGAGAACATTTCATAAAAGTCGTTTCAGGAGCTTTCCCCTCGGTGTGCCCTGTGTTATTGCTAATCTGGTAACATAGCAGGACGTATTAGGATGTCTTAGTGGAAAAAGGTGGGCCTGCTGCCTGGTTAAGGTCAAGTTCATTTGTTGAGACTCATACCTCAATATCATGTTCAGTTAATAACAGGCAAGTAGAAAACATTTTTAGTTAGTATATTAACAATTCTAATGCTAATGCAAGTTCTTCATTCGGTCATAACAGGATAACATAATTGCAAAACACACACAGCAGCACAGGTGGAGTGTGTTAAGTTATTGCCAATATACAGTGCAGCTCCCGAGTATTTGTGTTGGGTAATCTATGGTAGGGCTAACCCATACAGCGGTGGGGCTCAAGTCAGTATTTGCAATGTAATTACATACCCGCTCCCCTTGACAGTGAAACGCCACTCGTGAGGGTTAGATTATTTCCCTGTCTCAATCCAAATTGAACTGTATGAAATAAAAAGGCACATTTGTCTTGTAGTAAATAAAAAGGGCAACCTGGAGTCAATCCTGCAATTTCCCCACAGGTGAAAGAGTTGACATGCTGAAAACCCAACTGGGGGGATTCTCCCCCAGGAGATTTTTTAAAATACTAACATAAAATACACATTCTGGTACTCTCTTGAGAAGAAGAATAAATACATCTATTACTACACGCCACTGCCAATATAACAGACGCTAAATTGCATGTAATTGTTTGGCAGTACTCCAATATGTTCGTTGAAAATGATAAATGACTCATAACACATACAGACTTTTTAAAGCCATAATTAAACCAACCAAGGGGGTCATAATACCTATTTCTGATGTTTGCCACTTATGTCAGCAGATTCCAAGTTTCTGTGTTTCTCTTTTTTGCAGGAATGAACAGTCCTGAGGATCTATGTATTCTGTATTCAAACAGAGCAGCCTGTTACCTTAAAGATGGCAACTGTCAAGAGTGCATACAGGACTGCACACGGTGAGAGTCTCTATTTCCTAAACTTGCTCATCTGTGTGTATAAGTAGTGTGAGAAGTAATGCAGCTGTCTTAAGAGGTTGTTTAATTGAAAGGCTTTCTAATTTTTAGCAAACAGCCTTATCAATTGAAACACTTCAGTCGCAGATCACTGTTATTTCATGAAGGGATTTGCGATGGGGTGTGTTGAAAAGGATAGTCATTCATCTCTTCAGAAGTTCTGTAAGTAGGAGAACCTGTGGGAACCTCCCATGTGAACACCTGGTGTGTTTGCTTAAGATTCAACTTCTGAGGCAAGCAGAACATGGGTTGTGTGACAGTATATCCACACAGTACATGAGTGCAAGAACACATCCAAATATATACAATAGATTCCTAGTCAATCCCAATGTAGAGTACTTCTCAGTGAGGATCTACAGCAGAGGCGGCAGACTTGATCCTTTGCTCCTGTCTCATCTATTTATACCATCCAGAGCCCTGGAGCTGCAGCCGTTCTCCCTCAAGCCCCTCCTGCGCCGGGCCACGGCTTATGACTCTCTGGAGCGCTACCGCAAGGCCTACGTGGATTACAAGACCGTCCTGCAGATCGACATCAGCGTGCAGGCAGCCAACGACAGTGTCAACAGGTATTACCCGCACCTCTCACGGAAACACAGAGGAGCCTGAAGGAGTTTTAACATTCATATTAACAGGGAGTGGTCTTATCGGCCATGGTTTGGCTGACTACCTGACTAACTACCTGTTTAAGTGTACTGATACAGAGATCTATCATGAAAGTGTCCTTGCTATCCATTGGGTGATTATATCATTAGATGTATTAAGATAAGTAAATAAATAAAAAGGTACAATATCATAAAACACAATATAATTTGCCCTTTTGAATATTTTTCTATACTAAAATCTAGAAATGGCATTGTAACCATATGTTTAAAGAAACAAATCAAATGAACAAACACACAAAGTCTTGCTAGTGGCCAACAGATTTAGCTGGTGTTCAAAAGGAGCTCCAGCTCCAGGCTAAATCTGTCATGTCCGCTCTCTGTTATGCAATAGGTAAACTCACCTGGCTGCTTGGTATTTAGCAATACAGTAGATCATAGCATTAACATACAAGCGTATATAATTACATATATGAGACAATATAATGCTTGTATAGATACACACTAACTTACTTGCGGTGAGCTTTTTAACACCATGTCTGTGTGTGACTGTGTGTAGTATATTCCACTTGTGTCTGTGACAGCCACACTGACTGATCCTGGTCCTCCTGCAGGATCACCCGGCAGCTGATCGAGGAGGATGGCCCGGAGTGGAGGGAGAAGCTCCCTGAAATCCCCCTGGTGCCCCTGTCAGCACAGCAGCACCGCAGAGAGGGGCCGCCCAGTGCCGAGCTCCTGCAGGCCCGGGCCGAGAAGGCAGCCAGAGACGCAGGTCTGTTCTGAACAAGTCCTGATCAATCAATCATTCAGAAAATGCATCTAAGCCGGAAAACACTAATTACAAATCTGCCACAGGGGGCTTTAGGAACTGTACAACATACCACACGCTCTGTCCCCTTGTAGATAGAAGTCCTCCTGAGCCAGCCCTAACTTTAAGCTTAATTCAAGTAGGATGTCTTAAATGTAGTGGGTTTCTGTCTCCAGAACCCAAACTTAGATCTGGTTCCACAGGAGACCAGCTTCAAAGCTGTAGGATCTGACCATTCCACTTCTCGGAAACATGAGGAACAATGTGTGTGTTCTAGTGGGGTAATAGAATACTCTTTAAGATCCCATGGTTTCTGATCATAACTTTGAAGGTTTGTCCCCAAAACGCTGCTATTGTAACTGTATAATATTGCAGTATTTTAAGTGGCAATATTGTATATATTCACAGAGGCGAGATATCCATACCTGTTATACTAATGATTTACGAATAGCTTTTTGAGTAGATTGACCAATACAAAGATGCAGACATGGGAAAAATAAATCACAAAAGGTTATTTTTTACATACTGCAGATGGATCTAAAATTACACTTTGAATATATAAATCACAATATATAGCAATATTTGTTATCACAATACTCAGTATATAACAAAATGTTTAAAATATGTTTTTTGATGGTACTGTGATTCCTACGCTAGTCATTTTCTTTGGATTTATTTTTAAACATTCTTACGTCGACAAGTCACATGCTGACAGTGTTTGAGGCTCCTGTGTAAATCCTTAACCTGGGTCTTAGTGTAACCTTTGGATATAAAGTGTGACATGAGGCCTGTCTGAAGACTGCACTCAGCTCTGAGCAGACATACAAATACAAAACATACGGTGATAGTATACAGTAGTATGGATAGTATCTTTTAGATTTGACTGCAACACAACAGTGTATAAATGCTTAATGCTTCACCTAAAACAAATACAACAGTAAAATGAATATGTATCAAAAATAATGATCCAGTGATATAACAGTTTTACACCCACAATTTCAATTGTATCTTCATTGAGTACTTTAACAGTTCCAGAATTCAAGGACCTGTATTCTTCCTCCACCACAGTTTGACAGCGAGGAGCAGAAGAGAATGCTCTCCACACTTTCACCACCAACATTCATGTTCCTGTTTCTCCATCACTCTGCACTAAGATACACACAGAATGTTATATAAGTGGACGACGTGTCACTCTGTTACTGACCATGCAGTTTTCCCCCTCCCTAGGCTGTGCTGCTGATGCTATTTTTAAACTCCAATGAAAGAATAGACTGCTGGCACAGTTCTCCCTCCCATAAGACCCTTTGCAGCAGATTGATTAGCCTTTAGTCCACACTGTGACTGATTGCTGACTTTACTCTCATGCCTCACGTCTAGCTAGCACAGCATTCATTTCAAGGATTTAAAACCCTCCAGCTTTATAGCATAAAAGACTGGCATAACCTTGTGGTAGGAAATTAAAAAAGGGGGGTTACTTCAACAGAAAGACATGTGAGTAAGCAGCAATGAGTAAGCAGCAATGAGTAATCACCACTGCACTTTGTCTTCCAGAAAGGAAAGCAGAAGTCCATTTTACAGCAGTGAAGCAAGAAGGGAACGACTTTGTGAAGAAGGGCCAATACCAGGACGCACTGGGGAAGTACACTGAATGCCTTAAGCTGAAGCCAGAGGAGTGTGCTGTCTACACCAACAGGTTAGTGGTGTCTGTTCCTCATTAGGCTGTGTCCTTATGATGCAGGAATGTCAGAAATGCAATGTTCCGGTTAGGATAAATGACAACAGATTGATTCATTATCTTCAGCTGGCTTCTGCTGCATTTAGCCCTTTGGCTAACCCTAGCCACTCATCAGTCTGTCACTGCTAGTAAATGAGCCTGTATTGTTGGTATTGAATGGCAGAGGCTCAGGAAACAGCTGCCTGCTTCATCACTGTTGATCACAACTCCATTTATAGCCTCTATCATGTTGATCTACAGACACACACACAGCAAGCACAAAGCATGCAGCAGGCAGGGCAGCATCCCCACTTTCCCTCCAACAGCAGTACGTAGATGTTTAATCATGTCGGCGAGGAAAATGTGATCCTGCGTACTTAAGAAAAGCCTATTGTGTGTCCTGTTTTACTTAGCTTGTAAATAGCTTGAATGTCAGCCACACCAGAGCAAATACACACTGTAGCTGAGAACCATCTGAATGAAAATACCGAACACATTAGGAAAGCAAAACGCTGGATGAATGCTCAGAGATTAAAATGCTATCATCTATTAATGTGTGTGTGTGTGTGTGTGTGTGTGTGTGTGTGTGTGTAGGGCCCTGTGCTACTTGAAGTTGGAGAGGTTTACTGAAGCCAAGCAGGACTGTGATGCAGCTCTCAAAGTGGATCCGACCAATAAGAAGGCCTTCTACAGACGAGCCCTGGCTAACAGAGGCCTAAAGGTGATTGGATGCTAAATGTTTATTTAGAAACCAAGACTCACCTTACATTATTATTATTTCATGAGATAATATTGGAGCTCTCAGCTACTTACACATGTTGGTATGCTGAGCTGCAGGACTATATGGCCTGCAGCTCCGACCTACAGGAGGTCCTGCAGCAGGACCCCAACGTGCAGGAGGCGGAGAAGGAGCTGGAGGAGGTGACGGTGCTGCTCAGACAGAGTCTGGCCAATGTGTCACCAGCCAAGCCCAGGACGACTGTCCCCATCACAGAGGTAGATGCACTTGTCTTTTTGTATTCCCTCCACCGAGGATGCTGCACTTTCTGCTTGTTTTTGTCCTCTGTTAAAGGGTAACAGAAAAAGTAGCTGTGCAAGTTTCAGAAAACTTAGTGAACACTTTGTGGGGCGGACACACAAATGATGTTTCCCTTTTGTTAATATTGTGTTATTAAACCACACACTCTGTCCCCGTGTAGATAGAAGTCCTCCTGAGCCAGCCCTAACTTTAAACTTAATTAAAGAGAGATGTCCTAAATGTAGTGGGTTCCACAGGAGACCAGCTCCAAAGCTAGGGTCTGACCATCCACTTCTGGAACCTCTAGGAAACACGAGGAACAATGCATTCTGGGAACACAGTGTTCTAGTGGGTTAATAGAATACTCTTTAAGATAACACGGTTTAATATTGCGAGGTAAGGCAATAGTGCTGCATTCATGTGCCGTTGGAATAATCAGAACATGTTTTGGGAATATGCACTGAGCAGCTCGGAAACAGCTATTAACGTGTAGTTTTAATGATCTGAGCAAAAAAGACAAAATCTAACAATAAGATACACATATAAACCATAGCCCATGGGGGTGGTCAGTCTCCTTATATTATTCTATTTTTATGAAATATCCTATACAGTCCAAGCTCAGCTCCTGTGCAGTAAAGTCTTTTCCACTCATTTTGAATAAAAGAAGGGCAGAACCACTTGACACTCTTTTGTCAGCATGTCATTGTTGGAGAAGTTAATCTAAGGCTTGGGGGGGGCTGAAGGAGACTGAAGGAAAGCGCTCGGCTCTGTGTTGATGTTGGTTTAGTGGCCAAAGTCCGGACCGCAGGCCACACGTGCTGCATGTTCCGCTGTGTCTCTGCAGCATGGTGCAGCAATGCTCCATCACAGGGTGTTTTCTCTAGTTCTTATCCCAGGGTGGACACTTTCTGCTTGCCTGATAGAACCTCTAACGTAGGCAGGGGGATCAGCTTTAAAGGTCACATATCATGCAAAATCCACTTTTTTTCTTTTAAAAAAAAAATCTTTTTATTGGCTTTTTGACATACAATGGCATCACAATGGCAATACAGTAGGTACACATGTATAGAAGATGGTCTGTAGGAAAATTAAATAGTTAACTCACCCCTCCCTCCCACCCCCCACCCTCACCCCTATGGGCTATGATCACATTATAAACAAGACATAAATCAAAAAGTTACAAAACATAAAACACCAGCATAAAAAAAAAGAGGGGTAGAAATTACATGAAAGACCAATAACTGAAAATTACATCAAAATACAGGTGCTTCTTCATGTTAATAGTCAGTAAAAAATAAATACCAGGGAAATAACGGTACTGCAAGTTACATGAGGAAACAGAGAAGACAAAACAAGTAATGGTCAATGTATTAGGGAGATAAGGAAAGGGGGAAGTGAAGGTCTCTCCTCCCCCCCCCACCGGGTTCACTCACACCTCATCAGCATCAGGGTTGATTGTAAGGTCATTGATTAGCAGTAGTAAGGGAGTCCAGGTCTTATGAAAGAGTGTCAGGGATCCTTGTAGTAAAAATCGTATCTTTTCGAGATTAATACACTGTAATAGTTCCTGTATCCACCTGTCATGTGTGGGTGGGGAGACGTGCTTCCACTTAAGAAGAATGGAACGCCTGGCCAGCAGGGTTGTGAAGGCGATGACCCGCTGAGTTGTGGTGGGCATGTTCTGTGTTGGGGGGACGCCGAACAAGGCAGTTAGAGGGTTACGGGGTATGGGTGTGTTAAGGGCCTGCTCAAGGGTTTTGAAAATACTAGACCAGAAGGCATTCAGGCTGGGGCATGACCAAAACATATGTGTGTGATTGGCAGGAGATTGCTTGCATCTGTTACAGGCATCGCTTCTAAGAGGAAATATTTTGGCTAGTTTAGCATTGGTAAAGTGAGCCCTGTGGAGCACCTTACACTGCATTAGGCCATGCCTAGCACAGATAGATGAGGTTTGCACCAAACGAAGAATGTCCCTCCACTTACTGTCAGATATGTCTACACCCAACTCACCCTGCCAGGACTCTTTTATAGATGTAGTAGAGGCTAGGTCAAAGGAGGCAAGTTTTCCATAAATAGTAGATACCAGCCTTTTTTGGTCACAATCAAGGGTGAGAAACTGGTCAATTCCTGACTCAGGGGGGCGGTTGGGAAAATGGGGAAATTGCTTTTGAGCAAAATGCCTAATTTGGAAGAAGCGGAAAAGATGACTGTTTGGCAGGTGATATTTGGCTGACAAGGATGCAAAGTCGGAGAAAACCCCATCCTTGTAAAGATTACTGATTGTGACAAGCCCGTTGGCAGCCCACATTCGGAAAGTGGGGTCCGAGCAGGATGGAGAGAATGAGTGATTATTTAGAATCGGAGCTTGGATTGAGGCTCTGTGTAAGCCATGTTGCCTTCTGAATTGAAGCCAAATCTTAATAGTACTGGTAACAATTGGGTTGACTGAGATTTTGTGCGTCATTACGGGAAGTTGGGAGCAAATCACAGAGTGTAAGGAGCTAGAGGAGGAGGAGATCTTCATGTGAACCCATGGTGGGCTGGAGTTAGGAGTCTTGGGGCCAGTCCAGTAAAGGAGTCGGTTAATATTAGAGGCCCAGTAGTAGTGACGGAAGTTCGGGAGTGCCAAGCCGCCCTCCGACTTGGGGAGCTGAAGAATTGATTTTTTAAGACGGGCGGGTTTGTCATCCGAAATGAACGCATTTAGTTGACTGTCAAGACTGGTGAAAAAAGATTTATTGATGCAAATTGGGATATGCTGGAAGAGATATAAGAACTTCGGCAGAATTACCATTTTAATAAGATTGACACGGCCAACAAGGGATAAGGGAAGGGAAGACCACCTAGATAGATCCGATTTGCATTTAGCTAAGAGTGGTTGGAAATTTTTGGGAAACAGATCTTTAAAGGAGCTGGTGATGGATACCCCCAAGTATCTGAAGCCGTCTGATGCAATATTAAAGGGAAAAGCGGTTGGGGGGAGTGTCTTCGCCAGTTGGTTTACAAAAAATAGTTCGCTCTTTTGGAGATTTAATTTGTAGCCTGATAAACGACCAAACTGCTCAAGGATTGACAATATAGGAGGGAGAGAGGACACAGGATTGGAGATGTATAGGAGAAGGTCATCTGCGTAAAGGGAAAGTTTGTGAACTATACCATGGCGAGTGATGCCCTCAAACCCATTGTGGCCTCTAAGCCATATAGCTAGAGGCTCGATGGCTAAATTAAACAATAGGGGAGAAAGCGGGCAGCCCTGGCGTGTCCCACGTTGGAGAGGGAAGGTAGACGATTGAATGCCATTTGTGTTTACCGATGCAGAAGGGGAGGCGTATACAAGTTTAATCCAAGAAATAAATTTGGAGTCAAAGCCACATTTTTCTAAAATGAAGAACAAGTAGCTCCACTCCACCCTATCAAAAGCTTTTCCGCATCGAGTGAAACTATGACTTCAGGGACATTGGACGGGGGCGAGAAAATAACTTAAGTAGCCTCCTGGTATTGAAGAAAGAGTGACTCCCTATCATAAAGCCTGTTTGGTCAAGCGGAACTATAGAAGGTATCACGAGTTGGAGGCGGACGGACAAAATCGTAGCCAGTATTTTACAATCAACATTTAGGAGGGAAATTGGTCTGTAGCTGCCACAAAGAGTAGGATCTTTATCCTTCTTCAATAGTAGAGAGATGGATAGGGTTTGAGGTAATCTGCCTTCTTTAAGGCAATCATTATACATCCTTGCTAGAATTGGGGCCAAAAGAAACGAATACGCCTTGTAGAATTCGACTGTGAAGCCGTCCGGACCAGGGGATTTCCCATTTTGCATAGATTTGATGGCTTCCTGTATCTCTAAAGTGGAAATGGGGTCCCCCATTCCGCCTGCGTTAACTACGTCAATTTGGGGGAAAGTTAAGGAGTCAAGAGGATTTGGGTTTATTGTGCCAATTATGGGGCATTCAGAAGTGTACAAATTATTATAAAATTCAAAGAAAGACTTGTTTATTTCAATCGGGTCAGAGACTAAATTGCCTTCGGGCGACTTTACTTTGGGGATTAATCTGGAGGCGTTAACTGCCCGAGCCTGTTGAGCCAGAAGCCTCCCAGCCTTGTCCCCCTGTTCAAAAAAGCGCTGCTTAGTTTGCCTCAGTTGTCTCTCCGCTACGCTCGTCATTAAAAGGTCATGTTCCAAATGTAATAATATGCGTTTTTTTATATAAGGTCGGTGAGGGGGAGGAGGAATACGATTCATCAATTCGGAGAAGTTCTTCCAAAATTGCCGACAGCCGAACCCTTTCATCCTTTCTTAGTTTGGAAACATACGATATAACCTGCCCACGAACATAGGCTTTGAGAGCCTCCCACACTGTTCCACAACTTACATCAGCAGTGTCATTAATTTCGATATATAAACGAATCTGTGAATTAACAAAGTCCTTAAACTTGTCATCTGACAGCAGGTGGGAACTAAACCTCCACAACTTAGCGGGAGTAACACTAAGAGGGAAGTGGATGTCAATTGATACAGGGGCGTGATCTGAGGTGGCTATAGGATGGTATTGACACGCGCTGGCAAGGTGTAGCAAGCTGTCATCAAGCAGAACAAAATCTATTCGCGAGAATGTGTGGTGGACGTGTGAGAAAAAAGAGAAAGCTTTACTTTGAGGGTTTTTAAATCTCCAAGGGTCTGAGATTCCTAATTGTGCTGCATAATTTTGATTTTGAGAGAGTGCCAAGCTTAAGGGATGACCTGTCGAGGTGCACATCTTGAATCAAGTTAAAATCTTCACCCATGATTATGCGGTGATTGTCTGCGTTCGGGATTTTAGCAAAAAGGTTCATAAATAATTGGTCATCATCCCAGTTGGGTGCGTAAATGGAAACCAAAATTACAGGCATGCAAGACACCTGAAACTATGACGTAGCGGCCATTATTGTCGAGAATAGTAGTTGTTGGTACGAACATCACACTCTTGTGAATAA